TTATATTAGTATTATTATTATTATTTTTTTTTTAATTTATAGACTCTGCGCAAGATCACATTTAATTAAAAATATTTTATTCATGTAGAATATAAAAAATATTTGTCTTTCAAAAAATGTATACAATGTACGATGCTTTTCGCGTGGAAATATTTTAATGTTTGTCATAACTACGAAAATAGTTTGAAATTTGATAATCTTGAATTGATTGAAACCATTAGGGAAAATAATGTAAAATAAATAACATTGGTAGCTATACAAAGTCTATCCGTCGACCCTAATATAGTCGATCTTATTTTTACCTTTGTTAAAAACGTTTTTTTTTTGCTTAATTTTGTCATGAATAATTTACAAAATTAAATCTACACTAGTCATAGGGCAGTTACAAATTTAGCAGTCAAATTATATTGGATTCGATCTTCTTTTACCACCATAAAAATATCATTGAAAACTGTTAAAAAAAAAAATTTGTTCATTTTTCATACCAGACGAAAGTTTTGATTTTGTTGGATTAGTTTTGTTTCATTAGAAAAATTGAATTCATCTTTGGACAGTTTACAACAACGAACTTTATGACAGAACCACTTTGGTTTGATATTATAATCCATAAGCTACTATGAGTTTTTATAAAAAGTGAGTTGTGATAAGTAAAAGAAGCTTCAAAATTAAATTCTTATTCAAAATTTAAAAATAAATGAAAGATTATTACCATTACATGGTGATAAAATCATGTAGAACTGACCAGTTAAGATTTTTTGTAGAAATTTGAAACGTACGATCTTAGCGCATATAGTATAATTTAACATCGCGTCTTATTTAATAAATAAACTAAGGGAAATTATGTAACAAAATCACTGGAACGGCGGGGCATGGTTCGATCAACATATTCATGGGGAAAAAAGGTCCATAAAGCAGCTTTGCAACATCTGTTTTTCATTAAAATGTAGCCTCGACAATCGAGGTTCTCTGTTACTCTACATGAAGACGGTGACGATGACGAAGACGACGTAAGGGTTGAGGTGATCACCAGGTGGGGTCCAGCCACAGGGTGAGGGCGTAGTCATTGATTGTGGGCGAGTCAACCAAACCGAAAAGCTTGGCCTTGACGAGCGACCCTAGCTAATCGCTGTCAAGGTCACTTTCCGAAGGTCATTTGTTTTCACGCGATATTCGCCGCCTCTTGGCTTGCTCTGCCTGCTCGGCAGCGTTCACTAAAAAATCGTTTACGCTGTACGAGCTAGTTTTTTTTTTACGCTATATCACTAAATGTAAGCGTGTGCATGCGTGATGGAATGTATTATTCTTGGATTTAAATTGATCTTTTAGCATCGTCATGCTCAATATACCAACATTTTTTGGACACATTGCCTTCGTTTGTACTTATGTAGGTGAAGAGTTGTGATGATATGAATTATGAGGTGAAGATGACAGTAATCATAATTGGTTCAAAAAACACAGACTGACGAAATTTTTACAAAACAATCCCACCAAGATATTTGTTTTAAGATTATATTTGAAGTTGAAAAAAATATTTTACATTTTTATATTATAATCGGATAGTATTCGATTCCTTTGTACAAATGAAATATTACTGTATACACGACCTCGATACAAGCTACTTTACATAAACTCAGATAAAATTAAAAACTTAAAACAAATATATAAATATAGGTATATATTTTTAATTTTTGATTTATTTCTGTCAAGATTGATAATATAAGCATATAATATATCGTGAACTCTTTTTTTAGCTAATTAAAAAACCATATTTTTGTGTATATATATTAAACACAAGGAAACAAAATTATAACTTTTAAAAATTTCGCCAAGCAATGANTATATATAAATTTATATAAATTATTTACACATGAAAACGCGTACAACGTACTTTTCTAAATTTAATTTGCCTGTATTCTTAATAAATATGCATATTTAAATGATGAAATCTCGATACGCATGAATATTGCTTTGTGAGGGACGTAAAATTTCGCTGCTGCCACATCTTTCCTTAAAGATGTTTTAAATTTTTCATCATTATTTAGCCAATACTCTTAAATATGTACAAGTTGCTTATAAAAAAATTGTGTTAGCATAATAAAATCTAGATCGAATTCCACATAGTTATTTTTAAAATAGCTACGCATTTCATTGATTGTCGATAGTATTTACAATTCTGTATATTTATATAATTTCTTACCAATCTAATGATTTTAAATTAAAATAAATCGGCAGCAGATGAGATTCACATACCCTCGCATACGTTCACAAAACTATACTTAAATCATAGCACTTGACTTTTAAATGCACATATATCACAGCAGTATTACACATTTCCACGGAAAATAACGAATAGAACAGTTCAGAGTATACGTGTCATTGGCAAGAAGTGATTCTATTTGAAAAACAGGATCTTTGAGCAACCTCCTACCAAATGACATATACAGCACTGGGTGCTCTAGTTTTCTTAATTTTCGATTTGGCCTGTGCCCCATAGTCGGTAAGACTAGGTTGGCTTACTCACCAGCAGCTCCGCTCCTGGTCTTCCTCCGATTGACGTCTTCGAGGGAGCGAGAGGCACCTCTCGTATTACCAGCGGGAGTTGCAAGCGGGGAGGCAGTATTTTGACGTACCGAGCGCCTCGTCGACGTGACCGTCGTCACCATCACCTCGCCTAGGGACTCGTTGCTTGAGACCGAGATACCACGTAGCCTCTCCTTTACGAACGTCGGCCCGCTGCCGCCACTACCCCCGCCCCCGCCGCCACTGCTGCTGCTGTTGTGGCTACCCGCCGTCGTGCTCGACTGTTGCTGTTGCTGGACATGCTGCTGCTGCTGTTGGCTTTGATGTTGCTGCTGTTGCTGCTGTTGGTGGTGGTGGTGGTGTTGGTGGTGGTGGTGGTGGTGCTGCTGCTGCTGCTGCTGTTGGTGATGGTGGAGCTGTTTGGTCGTAAGCTGACGGCTTTCGCGCTGCGCTCGGCTGTTGCCCGAGTTGTAGTTCGAGAGGCCCGAGTGCAGCTGACCGATCGACGCTGTTGCGCCAGAGCTGCTCCTGGAATTTCGTGTTCCGTTACTACACGAATACTTAAAATAAATACGGTCATGTTTAATAATGCTGATGCTAAAGAGCTTTGTAAAATTAAAAATTTATTACGCTTATTTGCTGACAAAGAAAATTATCGTTTAGATTTGAATTTTTAATATTTTCATGAAATACATACTTTTGGTCTTTGGGTTTTGGCAATCCAGTGATAATATCTTCTATTACTCGGATTTTTGCTTTACTGGAAATATCTGCCACGAGTTCATCATCTGACGATTCTATGTCTACGAGCAAGGGTCCTGGAGCTAAAAAAATTTACACAAATATATATACCGGCATTAGTATTATAAATGAAGAATGATAAGAACTTAAAGGAAAAGTCACACCAATCTAAGATACCAAAATAATAAATTAATAAAGATATTTGACACACAAATCTAAAACTTTCTAAAATACAGTACAATATCAAAGTATATAAAAATACACAACATCAAGATAAGTTTACAGGTCCTTTTTCTGTAAGATCAACTTTTTAGATTCTGGCTTGGTCAACATGTCCTTCAAATTTCCGCATTTAATTTACATATATGTTTTTTAATTTTTTTTGTAAAAGAGCAAGTATTTGTAGTTGTAATTTATCATAGAAATACTTATTGTTAAATGAGGCTCTAGAAATGTGACTTAAATTCAAGTTAAAAAATCGCACACAGTAAATAAATCAACGCTTTTTTTTCTACAACTTATAAAAGTGAGAAAAAAAAAAAAAAAGATGATAACTGATATAGTTCAAAATACATCCGGTTTTCAATCCCGTGCATTATTTGCTTTATTTAACTGTGCACTACTAAAGGCCCTAATCGCTCACGTCTTTATTTTTATAATAGACACCTTTTTTGCTCTTGGACAACATGTTGATGCTTTTCTTGGACGAATCATCCTTGCCAGTGACGAGTTGTCTTTTAACAGGACCACCAGAGCTCTCATCTACGCCCATGCAAGCCTTAATAAGTCCAGCAGCATTCTCCGAGCATTTCCGTTTACCTGGCCTTGGCTGTTGCTGTTCCTCGTTATTCGATGCAACGCTGCTCTCGCTCTCCTGTCTTTTGCGCTTGCCAGTAGTTCTGAGTGGTGGATGGACTCCAGTGCTTGCGAGCGTCACATTGGTCGTCGTCCCAGCTGACAGCTTCGTGTTGGTGGCACTGCCCGTGACGCTCAGCTTTGTTGGTCCAGCCTTCGAGTATGGTGAGATGCTTCGCCTTTCCTGAGGGCCTGTACACTTGGCTGCTTTGACATCCGGACTATTCAGGCCCGACTTTTGCGACCTGGTGCGCCGCTTTTCCACACCTCCGGACAGAGATGAGTCACTATTGGGTGTATGTTGTTCCGTTAACAGTTGTTCCAGCAGTGACTTGTCAGCGGTGGTAACCTGCTGCTTGGCTCCATAACTTTCGCTGTTGAATTGTGGAGCCGCAGTTAGCGTCTCGGTGACATCGTCATCGATACAGATCAAGTCCTGTTGGAATTCGAGCTCCTGCTTACGGCGTCGCTTGCGCCGCAGATGCTCAGCCGCGACGATCATTGCTGATTCAGCGGACTCGGCCTCCGTAGGAGTTTGAGGTCCAGCCGGGCTCGGTGTATCGTCGCGCTGAAGCACCACAGGATTTGAGTACGTGTACAGAGGCGGCGTGATGCGGATCGGTTGAGGATCGTCACCCAGCGGTGACTGGACGTTCAGATCGCAGATTGTTATGTTACTGCTGACACTATTATTACTACTACTGCTGCTGGTGTCACTTGGCATTGCTACTCTTTTTGCGAGATCGTCCTTGACCTTTTGTGGATTCACCAAGTCCCGGCTGCTCGATTGCTGTTGGCTTTGTACATTTGATTTTTGGCTTTGATCTACAGCTACTAACTCGGACTTGGGTAACGCGCTTGTCACTCCCTTTACTTCCTGTTTGGTCTGCTGTTGTTGCCTCGTATCATCAAATACGGGTTCTTCCTCTTTCACTTTAATTTTTGATTCAATTTTGGGTTCAATTTTGGGTTCAATTTTGGGTTCAATTTTGGGTTCAATTTTGGGTTCAATTTTGGGTTCAATTTTGGGTTCAATTTTGGGCACAAGTTTCAGTTCAAGCGCTGATCTAACTTCAAGCTTTGGAGTCAAAATCAAGCCAGAAGTCACATCGAGATCGGCACTTGTTTCAATTTTTTCCACTTTCACTTCACCATACCCCACGTGATTTTGCATTATAGGCACACCGTTATTATTAATATTATTGTTATTATTACCACTAGAATTATTTTTACTTTGCGCTTGAGGTGGTTGTTGCGAACTCTCCTCGGCGCTTAACCTACTTAAACTATCATCGACAGCTAGAGACTTATTCTCGTCCACTACAACCGGAGCGACGTCGGCACTACTCTCAACATGAACAACGTTTTTTGTCGTCGTCGTCGTCGTCGTCGTCGTCATCGACGGTCCTGTCGTCTCGGACTTGACGGCACCAACACTAGCACTAGTCTGATTCACGCACGAATTATCACTCGCGTTTTTGGGCTTAGTTTTTGGTGACTCGTTCTTAACGCAAACGTCCACAACACTAGACGAGGACGGTGATTCTTTGGAGTCCATCGCGCACTTACTCGTCTCGTCGTCTTTCACTTTAGCCGTCAATGTCATTGGCGCAGTATCTACAAGACTGTTTTCTTTTTCTGGCTGCTCCTTTCTTTCTTCCAGCCTATTTACCGTCGTATCAGGCGCAATAGAAGACGAAATCGCGGCAAGCTCTTTTTCCAACACTTCGGCGTTCAGATGACTCTCAAAGCTGCTCTGAACCGAATCAAGCTGTTGCTGCTTCTCAGAAACACTACTCCGCGAAATTGAACACATATCAATACTACTGCTACTAACTGTTGGGGAAGGCACGTGGTTCTTGTTGTCAATTGTCAGCTGTTGCGGAGGCGGGGGTGTCTCTATGTGAGCTTGAGCACTACTCTTGATAGACGATGTCGTGACAGAGTCCTGGGCAGCAGCGGGCCTGTGTAGCGGAGACTCACCCTGATTAGGTGACTTTTCTGATAGTGCATCCATGGACTCTATACCACTGTCCTCTCCAGCAGCATTGCTTGCACTGTTGTTGGCACCAGCGTTGTTGGCATTCGCGTCAAGTATACCACCACTCAGACCAATCGGAGTCGTCAGGACGGTTGGATTTTCGAGAAGCTTTTGCTTGACTTTAGCCTCAGAGACGTTAATGTCGCCTATCGGCAAAACCGGTTTGTTACTGACCAGCTGTTCTATCGTCGTCGGCAGCTGATCTATCTGTTGTTGTGATTTGATCGCCTGCTCGTCCGTCAGTTTTTCGATAGGATTGCTCTTGAGCAAAGTCGCGTGCTGTACCGTCGTCTCAACTTTACTGATCGGTACAATACTACTTTGTTTGCTAATGACGAGCGGATGGTGATTAGGAACGAGTTTTTTGGCCTGCAATGCAGCTGCGCTTGATAACCTGTTGAGTTCATTTTTAGCCGCTGCTCCAGATAAGGCATGATTTTTCAACTTCATGCTCTGACCCAATTTAACCTCGAGTTCTGTTTTCGATAAAGGCTTATTTACCAACGCTGTCGGAGTGGATACTGTTCTCGTAGTTTCGTTCACCAGATTAGTTTTAGTGGACAGACCGGTTTCCACGAGGCTCGAGACAGCAGTCTTTGTTGTTGAAGACAAAATTTTACTATCCAAGCTCGAATTATTAGCTTGAGTCAGTAAGTTTGAAATCTTTGGTGACACTGAACTGCTTCTGCCAATATCGTTATCAAGCGACGAATTGGAGATAGTGGTTTTGCTTCCAGTCAACTGTATGCTGGATAACGTTACGGTCTTTTGGTGCTGTAACTGCTGTTGTTGCGACACAGAATCTAGAGTCGTTTTCTGGTTCGATGATTGCGATGTCTCAACACTTTGAGATTCTGTAAGAAAATTAAATGATAAATATTAAAAAAAAAAAAAACTTTTTTCATATTTTTGAATGATATTCAAGTGATGTGATGAAATATACCTGACAGGTGCAGATATTTCTCATCCAAGCTGAGCCTAGTTCTCTTCTCTTGATTAACTAGGTCTTTTCTGATGCCATTTGGTTCGGGCAGCTTGGTGCTCAAAAGACAGATGGTCTTATCTACTGCAGATCGACCAGCACTTGTGTCGTTATCACAGATCCGTCTGATTTCACCTGTCCTCTTGAAATCATTACTCGACATTGTCGTAGTTACCGGCGTCGTTAAATTTTCGACTGTTTTCTTTGTAGTCTGTACTGCCGTGACGGCGTCGCCACCTTTGTAGCCCAGTTTGCGCCACTTGGCCTGATTATCAAGTATACGACCACCCGTCATCAGATTCTGCTCACGATGCAGACTCTCGCTCGACTCCGACTTCTTTTTCGAATCTCTTCTTTTTGTTTTACCTGAAATTTTATTTACTCGATTAATGATAGGACTGATAGTAAAATTATCATGTAAAATGTTTTGAGCCAAATCATAATGACATCTACTTAAAGATTACGTAACAATCGTTTAATAATCCGAGATGATGGATGTTAGAACTTTTAAATGTACTTAATTTATTTGTAAAAAATGTATTAAATTAGGAAGATTTACCTCCACCAATTTTATGTTCACTCGTATGGTTGGACAGTTCAGTCTCGCCAGAAACCTGCTGCATCGCCGATTGTTGCTGGTTTAAAATGGACGAGGTCTTGTGTTTGAGTGGAGAGGGTATCCTACTGTTTAACGGCAAATCATCAACGTCGCTGCCGGCAACGACGACTTTGCTCAACGATTGTTTTGTTGTCGTAGCAGTCGTTTGATGCTGGTGCTGCTGCTGTAAGCGCGGCGCCGTCGCCATTTCCATAGGCGAACCATTGCCACCACCACTGCTGCTGCTGCTGCTACTACTACTACTACTGCTATTGCTGTTACTGTCTTGTTTTAAGGCATTAGATTTGGTCATGACGTTTTGCAGCGTATTGTTCATTTTTACAAGGGAATTAGCACTATTCAACACAGTGGAGTTTGACAAAGGCAATTTCGAGGCAGACGCTGCACCTGTTAAAAGTTGATAATTGTACGTAACGTAAATGGCAATTTTTTTTTTGTATACAATTTGTTGTCAAATAAATATTTCCTTACCCATAAACATATTAAACGACTTCTTTTGCAAGAGCTTATTGCCGTCGATCGAATCTTTCATTTTTTTCAGTTTTCCGCGTTTTTTGATACCAGTCAAATCTCCCGACTCAGAATCTTTAAGCAATTTTTTCTCTTTTTTACCAATTTGCACTACCGAAGCGTTACGACCACGCAGCGATATGTGCAATGGAGGCACTCTCGGCTCTTCGCTCGTAGGTGTCGAACCACCACTGGGTCCAACGTTACCACCACTACCTAAGCTCACTGGCGTTGTCGCGACAGTCGTACCTACGAGTGTGTTCATGGTTGTAATGCCTGCTGAGGCAACACTAGCACTACTCGACGGACAAATGCTGCTATTGGTGCCTCCTAAAGTGCTACTCAACAACTTATTCATACTTGTTTTTTCAGCTTTACGCGCCGGCTGTGTGTTCACAATAGAGACATGCTCCACCTTGTATGCTGGAGTGACAGGCTCTGACTTTTCCAGCTTAAGCCTGTTCATAAAGGAAAACATGGTCAGAATTATTTTGAATATTGAGCATTAGGATATCGAAGTAAAACTATTACTATGCTTTACCTAAGTTTAATCTTTTCCGTTGGCATGGGACTGTTTGTGTCCCTACTGGACTTGAGTCTATTGTGTTTAAGACTGCCCTCGCTTGCTGTGGACTTGGCTGTATTTTCCGAGTCTGACTGATCAGTGTTCGTTGTGTCATTTCTTCTTGAAAAGTTACTGTCCGCATCGTCATCAGAGAATATCGAATTCGAGCGATCGTTCAACGGAGAGGGAAACGAGAAAAAGTTGTCTTGCGTCTCAAGTGCACTCTCAGGTTCCGAATCTGAAGTGTCACTGGGCATAGGCTCGAGCAGGCCTGTGAGCGGGTTAATGAGATACTGCCGTGGTTTACCTGAGGACGTGTATTCGGGTTCGCCGGTGGATTCCGAATCCCCGACTTTTGAAGACTCATTTCTCGTCTCCGTGGCTGTGGACGAAGCGGCTTTAGTCGGAGCTGACGTTGCTGCTTTCATCGAAGCTGATAAGTTTTCGTGACTTGTCGATTTAGTCTGTCGAGCAAGTATATCAGTTTGATTATTATTTTAGGTACTCTCAAAAATATTAAATCTTTCAATAAAAAGGGTAAAATTCGTTTTAGTTAATTACAAAATGCGATTTCCCAGGATACATAAAATAAATCAACCATACAAAGTATCACCGTACAATGACGCGAGTAGGGGAAAGTGTTCAAAAAATTTTGCGAGGCACTCTGTATAAAATAAAAGCTAGTCTTACCACGGGCAGATCAGCATTATTCTGAACGAAGACATCGGAAACTGGCTGACTGATGGGCGTCGTGGTCGCCACAGTAGCAGTGACTGGCGTACTACGTTGCACCGCCACTGCACTGTTGATCGGTGCAGCCTGCGGAATGGAAACGTTCTGCGGAGCGCTCCATACGGCGGTAGTGCTAACCACAGTCCCGTTCGCTTCCGTGTTAATATTTGACACGGCAACCGCGGCGTGTGACCTACTTGTCACAGTTGTTGTTCCCGAATAGTTTCTGCTAAGTATGTTTTGACTTTGACCATAGCGGAAATCGGTAGATGCTCCTGTGTTCACATTTATATTTTTCAATTGATTATGGTGCAATTGTTGCTGCACGTTCACAGCCTGGTTCAGTTGTTGTTGCTGCTGCTGATGCTGTTGCTGCTGATGCTGCTGTTGAGGTTGACCCAAAAGTACTTGCTGAGTCGTAGCTTGCGTTGTTTGCTGAACTTGTGGTTGTGATTGTTGCTGACGTGGGTAGGGCGGCGGTGTTTGTTGGTTCGATGATTGATTACCGATAGCTTGCACTGGCTATAAAAATTATCAATTTTTTTTATTATTTACTAATTACCAATGAAATGCAGAATAATATATTGTTATAAACAAATCATACCCGGCCTTGCTGAGCTCCAATAAATGCTAATCGCTGTTGATTAACTCCCATTTGCCCAGTTTGAAGTATTTGCTGTTGTTGCTGTTGTAAAAGCTGTCCAGTGCTTATTGGATTCGTTTGCATAACCTGAGGCGAACTTAGTTGTTGCTGAGGTATTAACAGTGACTGACCAGACAAGCCTTGCTGACTAATTTGTGACTGTTGTTGCTGTTGCTGCAAAAGCAACTGCTGCCTTTGCTGCATGTGTGTTCTTGCCTGGAATTCAAGCAATTGTAACTATTTTGCATAATAATGAAAACTAGTTAAATTATGTGTATATAAAATGAAACAAAGTAAACAGGAATCTTATTATTTATTACCTGTTGGCCATTAACGGGAAACCTGGTCAACTGGCCTTGAATCTGAACTTGTTGTTGAGTGACGGCTGCTGGCTTGTAAGCCAGCTCCTGCCTCACTGGGAACTTTTGCTGTATTTGTACTTGTGTGTGCATTGCAGCCGGCATTACCGTATGTGACTGCATCAACTGCTGATTTTGCAGCAATTGTTGCTGCAGCTGGTGTTGAGGCACTGTAGAAGCCACCGAGGCGGCGTTAACCTGAGCAAAGGCCGAAGGCCCATGACCACCAATATCAGCGATCACCGCTGTCGACACAATGAGGTCTTCTGTCCTCAACGAGTCGAGACTATTTGGTGGCGAAGCATTCGGTGAAACTGACGTGAGAGGATCTTTTCTCCTAACCGTTGGTTTTTTCTGTGGCCTTATGCGATTTGTCATTGCAGCGTTTGAACCATCTATCACAGCAGGTGGCAACATCTTTTGTTGATGGCTAGCGGCGGCGTGGACAACGCCAGATGAGCTAGTGCTCGTGCCGTCGTTCTGTAATAAGTTTACCAGAAGCGGACTTGAGAGCGCAACTTGGTTGCCGACAGTGCCTATTGCGGGGTTAGTCGCAGCCAAACTGTTCGGCGATGGACTAGAGACCACGGCACCCAGAGATTTGTACTGACTGGGCCCGACAACTGTTTGTTGCTGTACATGCATGCCTGCTGTTTGAGGCGATGGGTTAACCGTTGTTGCCAAGCCATCCTGCTGCACACCGCCTACAGCTGGATATGGTGGCGGTGGCTGGTTGTGATGCTTGAACGCCTGTACAGTTGCTGTCGAACCTTTCACTCCACCAGAAGCCTCGCGACTGTGTATCGCTTGAGCCGCGTGGGTCATACTGGCAAACGGAAAGGGTCCGTTGTAACTCGTTCTTGATGATGTGCCGCTCGCGCTAGCAACTTGTTGCATCGCAGTAGAGCTTGGGGCTCCAACACTGCCAGAAACACCGGCCGTCGATGCACTAGGTTGTTGGACAGCTTTCGCAAGGAAGGGCGGAATTTGATCACAATCCGTTGGAGCAATAACATTCGGCGAACGAAATTGCGGCGATTTTTCCGAGGATGGACCAGCTACAATAAAATGCTCAAATGAGTTGAAAACAATAACAGTTATGCATTATACATAAATAGTGATTATTAAGGAAGGTAATCTAACCAGTCGCGATAAGTTGAGCAACATTGCGAAGAGCTGACGAGATGTTGGAGGCATTACTAGGCCCAGGCACAGGAGTAGCATTACTGTCCACAGTGGATGCACTACTTGCAAGATCACTTTGGGATTTACTAACGCCTTCTTGGGTTGGACCCGAGTGTAAAACGATTTCTTGTGACTCGCCACCATATCGTCCAGCTATCCTCAACGAGATTACCTGTTTGTACGTGATGAACGTTACATACTTCGGAATCGATCAATTTGATATTTGTTTATTTATTTATTAGACGTATGGACTTATTTTACTAATAAAACAAATTTTGAAAAAAAACGAGACATGATAATAATGTTACCTGATCTCCTTCTACTTGTACCGAGAGAATACCAAGTTGCGCAAGGGTAGCAGAACCCTGGGCTGCGAGTTCGCGCAACCTCAGAGCAGCTTCTTTGGGAATTGAGAACGTTACCCTTACCGAATTCCATGGTTCTACTTTTTTTACTTTTAATTTTTGCCCCTCGCCTATTAAAAATTGAAAAAAATAGTCATTAATGCAAAATGAACAAAATTTTTATCGTCTTTAATATTCAATAAATTTAATTGATCTAAGAACTTTCTTTACCTGCAGAAAAACTCGCCATTTTACGTTATAATATTTCTAAGCAACATAAATCACTCGATTTCAAACTGTGTTTACCTTTGCAGACAAGGGACTTTAGATGATCTACAATAACTTGGAACTTGTCTGGAAATTCAGGATCTCCAATATCACCTTCACAAGTTATCACCGTCTCAATTAAATCACCATCACTATCAGCCGCCATTTCTGGAAGAGCCATTTCATTAAAAACCAACTTCTTTGTCAATGATAAATATATGGAATAAAAAAACAACACCTTACCAACAATCAATCACATAACTATTATGTAGTTTGGGGGACTTTTAAAGGTACTAGCGTATGTTTTCACTGTGAAATTTAATTGGACTATTAGTGAATACTACAAGTTTCTCCACTGTAAATGTTGCTTAGAAGCTTATTTTTCTGAAACAGACAAAGAAACAGAATATTACATTTTAGTTTTTTTTTCGACCATTTATACTGTCTCTACATAGAAAAATATTTAGAATGATCTAATTTTGTTGCTAATAAACTTTGAGAATTTTGATTATGAAACTAATTCTGAATATACAATTAATTATATTTAAAAAGTAAGATTGTATTTAAAAAATTGTAATCCATAACTATAAGTAAGAGTCAGAGCGTCAGTTCATTGAAATTTATAATTTTATAGTTATGTAACGAAATGCCGAATTAAAAATGTAAAAGCTTTAGAAAAAGCTTAGAATAATTATTTCAAAAGCAATAAAATAATGCGTGCTGAGGTGAACAAATTAAATACTAAAAAAAAAAAAAAAAAACTACAATTGCACTTGTTTTTGTTTTCTGGAATATATTTTTCGGTACATATGTAATTCCTTCAAAGCAAAGATTTTAATTGTTTTACAATCCCATAAATAAATATAAAATTAAATATTTTTTTTCTTTTCAGTTATTAAAGTAAAGATTGGTAGGCAACAAGGTAACAGATAGTTCATCAATCATAACCTCAAAGTTTCTTATGTAAAAAATCTTTAATTTATCACATATTTTATATCACGATTAAGGCAAAAAAACTATATTCTTATGAATTTTCGATACTAAATGAATAATATAATAAGGTAACAAGATGCTATAATTTTACTTGAAGAGGTAATTCAATTGTAATCTGCTAACTTTTGAAAAGAAAAACAGAAGGAAGGAACAAAAATATTTGATCTATATTTGATCTCTATAAAAAAAAAAAAAAAACTGCTAAACAGTATCGAGTAACAAACAGAATATCTGTCATCATTGACAATCAAATTAATTGTAACATAAAATGAGAAATACTTTATTTATTTGAAAAATAATCCATCTGCATCTTATGAACTGATCCTCTACAATAGATTATACACCTATTTACAGTAGAACACTGGCAGCGTTGTTCCAAAATACATTAATAACTGAACGATGGTACCAACTTTCTAATCAATGGTTCTATTAAATTTAAACTTACAAGATCTGCCGTAAAATCACGTGAAATAATTTAACATCAGTTAACAAACCATCTATACTTAGTAGTAAAACTGTAACAGCGCTCTGCTTGGATTCTTGAAACCTACCCAGCCGGGATCGAAAAATCTGTTCCAAAATGCAACCGATCGATCATATCGTCAGAGGAAAGACATTGGTGTAAACACAGCCGTGTACACAAGCCAGAAAACTCCAAAAAAATCTGCACGCATCCGTGTGTCTTCCCCTTGATCTGAACAAGAGTAACTAACTACACTGAACTACCACACCATACAACCATATACTTGTACGCAGCTCGTCTCACATAATATACATGGTACACACACACACACACACACACTTATGTACACACACAACGCAAGAGAAGAAACTGCGCTACTGAAGAGATAAAAAATGAGTCTATCTACGAAACCAATGCATGCAAAACGTATCTAGGTACATTGCACGGCTTCAGGAGAGCACTTATCACCTATACTGCTACCTATTGCAACAACGATGACGACGACAACAACAACGACATATGCATCTTTGACTTTGGAGCGCCGCACAACTCCGAACTCCGACAGGTGAAAAAGACGCGTGTATGTACACCTACAAGGATACAATTTGAGAGAAAAAGCAGGAAACGGGCTACACGATAAAATATACAGTTCTCCTGACGTCTTGACCCATCTTTTAAGGGAAAATAATTGCGCGCTGTGGGGTTTACGTATACTTACTTACGGTAAAGCTAGTTTTTTCTTCAGTTTTCATTTCGTAAAAATATGACATAGTTAAGTGCAAGTTTCAGCATTTATACACCAATTTCTTGCTGGACGCTGAATCGGAAAGCTCGTAAAAAAAAAAAAAAAAAAAAAAAAGAAAAGCCTTTACTCGCGCGATATTGAGTGCAAAAAAGCATCTACTAGGTGCTAGCCTCTGTATTTCCCTCCCCCAGGAGATGCACTTTTGCTCAGAGGTTATCGTCGTTGCCTCCTCTCTCGCTCTTTCGAGGGGGCGAGGGGAGCACTGCACACGTACTCGTTCTCTCTTTCGTGTATTCATTTTTTGTTTTGTTTTAGGTATTCTCTCTTAATTGGTACGCATCGAGGATGGAAAAAAAAAAAAAAGGAAAACGTAAAAGGGACCGTCCGTCGGGAAATCTGGAAAAGCATACAGTGACGGAATACTCGGAATAATCTCTATAGCTTCGTTTTTTCTTTTTCCATATTTTCTACATCTGTGTTCTTTAAACGCGTGTTGGTGTGCTTTTTTCGTTTTCCATCTCTGTTGCGCGCGGCTGAGCTCTCGGCTGCTCTCCGTTTCATTTCGGAGCAATATGGAGAGAGAAAAAGAGAGCGGGGGGAAGAAGAAGACGGGAGAGAGAAAATTACAGCTACAGCTAGAGCAAACAAACGAGGTTATCGGCATCAGGAAAAGCTGGGAAAAAAAGAGGGATAGAGCTGCTGCGCGTGCACACACCAGACCGAGCTGTCATGTAGATCCGAGGCGTATGGCATACAACAATAACAACAGAAACAACAATAACAGCAGGACAGCTGGTCGCACTGGAGGTGGATTAAAGGGTCACGACTTCCTGGGCAGAAGTGTGACGACGACGACGACGACTATGGGATGGATTGTGCGCGCGCACGGGGACTCCCTCCGCTCCTCTCGACCTCGCGTGTACACGCGGATGAGCATATATAGCACAGCTCTCGTGCGCCGTCGCCGCCACCGTTGCGTCTCTGTCGCCGTCGTCGTCAGGGCCAGGGGGGCTGGACTGCGGGTGAGAGGGTAGGAAGCGGAGGAAAAGGAGGAGGGGACCACCATTTTGTCTTGTCTGTATATACATATACATTGTGCAAGTCGGGGGGAGGTGAAGACCGTCTCGTGCGCGCTGTTTTCGTATATAGTATCACTACCTTCGTCAACTTAATCCAGGACGGTTATCAGTTGCACGAGGAGCCAATTTTTAGGTCCAACTGAAATTAATGTTCTGTTTTATTATTATAATTGTTGTTGTTGTTGTTTTTGTTGTTATTCCCGATGCTCCAAAATTTAAAGGTAGGGTACCTATGCCATAAGTAAAGAAATAAGGGTATGATATGTGTAGGAGTAAAGGAGAGACTTGGCCCGCAAAGTTTTGGAGCACGCGCTCCAAAATAGAAGATATTGGGGATAATTAGTTGACTGCGCGGGCTTTTAATTTTAATTTTCCTTGTTGTAATACTTAAATACGTGTGCATAGTACACATAATGTGCGATAGGAAAGCCAATTAAGAGGAGGATAGAGAGCGCAAGAGTGCACGAGGAATAGAGGGAGGAAAAATAATATACCAATGAGAGAACGCGCGGAAAAAACAACAGTGGCGAAAAGTCGCCAGCTCGTCGGGAATTATCCCGAGTACCTATATGGATAATTACAGGTGCTATCTACGACAACCTGTTTTCACACGAACCCCAGGGTAGGTCCACGACGTAAATGACATAGAGAAAACGTTCGTACACCTAAACCTAGACGATACGGTCCTTTCCTGCGGGTCCACTATCCATCTCTCTCTAAAATCGCGCATGGACACACACCCACACGTGAAAAATACAAGTAAACGCACACATGCATAGGTAGGTACACTAGGTAGAGATCAGAGCGAGGCGAGGAAGCGCGCGCGCTCTCTCACGGGGCGCAGAGCACTAGGCGCACGCACGCACGCACGCACGCACACACATACATCTTTTGCTGCTCTTCTCCTGGAGGTATAGCCTAGGGGACACATGCACGGGGAACCAGAGCCAAAATAGATGATCAATTATCCGGACACGAGTAGCCGGTTACCTCTTTAAAAAACTGTACATGTATGTGATAAAGCTAAGCTATATTTACACACAAAAATCGTGATCAGAAAGACCGATGGGGTTTGGTTGCTGCATGCAGTATGGACATTGGCAGGGGCATCAGCCTTAAAATGAGCAGCAGTAGGTAGCCACACCACCAGCTAGGTACATATTATATACACGAGTATTGGTATACATACACTTCAAATCTGTTTCCACAGATAATACCGAATGATCAATGAAACAAATTACACGCACAATACCTACTTATCTAATAGATCACTCGTACGCGCACTAGATCAATCGTAATGACGGTGACTCCTAGAGAGCCCGTCAACACACTCACACCGATCTCTCGGTCGGTACCTATATACAAGAGCCAAAGCGATCAGGATGCAGACAGGCAGTTGGACTCAAATGCTACCGTCTGCATCTACTGGGTTTATAAGCTGTATGTTGTTATTATTACCGGGTCGAGGGTGTAACGGCAGCAGAAAAGTGGCCGCTGGCTGCTCGTCGAGCTTTGACAATAGCTGCTGGAGCAGCCGGGGTTCATATCGCTTTCTTGTCCCACGGAGGCTTGCGCCTCAGGTAGATGTCCTCGTATTTAGTGTTCGGAGCACAATATTAGAAAAAAAGAGAAAATCGGGATCTCCTTGTATATTCAGTTTTTCGTTATCTCTCTCTCTCTCTCATTTTCTCGTCACGACCGCCAATTTGACCTGTGGCGGCGGCAACAGCAGCTATTGTACACGATACACATACACTACACGTAGGTACACAAACAGAAAACACGCGCACTAGAGTATGGCCAGGTTACGCGCAACTACACAGGCTGGTGTACAGCGGCTGCGAGAGGCGGTGGCGGCGGCGACACGGCGTACTGAGCACTACTGCACTGAACTTTTTAAAGCGGGCGCGCGCGCTCTCTCTCTCGTCGTCGTCGTCGTCGTCGTCAGGATAGCGGTGCGGAGCAGCAGCAACATCAACAACGACGAGGAGCTACAGCTGCGACGACAACGGCGTGGACGTCGGCGACGAGGAGGAACTGCTGCTGATGCTGCGGACGAGTCACGAAACGCCATGGACAATAACAAGATTCCGCCATTTGCAATGTAACCAACTGACATGCGCAAATCAATCGCGCGGGGGGCACACTTATTACTTTTGTATAATGTAGTATGAGTGTACACACATACCAGTGCACAAACTACACATGTACACAGTGCACTGCACTATAGCTCTTCTGTACAATTGTAAAAAGTATAGTTTGTGTGTATACATATATACCCCATGTGAGAGCCTACCTGGAGAGAGTATAGGTATAAAGTACATACATATTGAGATAAACCTTGGCATACGACAAAGGATAAGGTGCATATAGTCCTTATAGTGACTCCTTGTCCTTAGTATAATAGAGCTCCTGCCAAAAACACTTCTCATTTTTCAAGCATTAGGTGATTAGTGATTTGGACGATTTGGTGTGTCGTACCTATTCATGGCACTAGTGCTGACGCCTAACGGCGATTTTGATCTCCATTTCCGACGCTCAGAGGCTCTCTCTAGAGTTTCCAAAAATTAAATCGACAACCGTACGTAAGTCAACAAGTCAACGTCTGGCTTGCAGCTTGCATGCGGTGATCATTGTCATACTCTTCGTTTGCCGACGACGACGATGCTAATCAGTTTTCAGAGTGCACACACTTAGTTGTTGCTACTTCTATTGCTTGGATCATCTCATACAAAATCGTTACTTGCGGACTATGCGACAGTGCGACTCAAATTCTGTTATACTTCAGACGATATATCTCTCTCTCTCTCTCTCTGAGAGAACGACTTTTTCTAGAGCTTTTTCATACATTGTTGCTACTTATCGTGTTTCAAAATTGTAATCAAGGTCTTAAAATTTACTCACCTTTCTTAACAATTTTGTTCATGGGTATCATATGAAATTAGAGATTTAATAAGCAATCTTAATAATTATATAATGCTAAAAGTACAATTACGTTGGTCCTGAATCATCTCTGAAACAAATTCGAACTAAAATTTCATCACTTGAAGTTCATTATTGCTGGAATACATAACAATATTCACCATGGTAGTAGGCACTTCTCAATTGGTATTTAAAAAAATAAACTATAAAATCGTTGAGACAAAAAACAATAAAAAAACACTTGTTTACCATCAGTAGATCTTGCAGCTATACGTACGATCTACATGTAAAAACAATTTAATTTATGTACATCCAACATTCTTACACGATCTATACTTGCCGAACATGTTATTGATATTCATATCGGAGTCAATCGTTTTCCTTGGATTTGCCTATTAATTAATAGTAATAGTCTTTCCACTCTTTTTTAAATGAACATGACCATAATATCAGTTAATTACGAATAAAATACTGTTGGCCTAAAAAATAGTAAATAATTCTTATACACAAATGTTGGAAATATTATGTAGACGATTGAGATAAGTACTAGGTACTGAAATTATTACGACTCACGAATTTTGTTCCCCGATTTTTTTTTATCTCATAATTCCACAGTAATTCCATACCTGCAGTCGACCTGCAGCTGTTTTATTTTTTTTTTAGGGGATGGAAGTTACGTAGAGGTATATATTTATATTTTGTTAAAATTGGATTGTATTTCACTAGATAGAGTTCATAAGTAACGCACTCAATGTATACCTTTTTTTACCATTTGATGACTTGCTCTTCATACTTAATATTGTAGCATATCCTTGTAAAGCATTTAAGGAGGCTCCCTCGTGCAGAAATGCCAACCCTCTTCAGTAGATTTTCAACAATTAAATTCTTCTGGTCTTGGTTCGGGAACTGTCACGAGGGAGCCTCCTTAAATCTTTGAATGATTACTTTTGCAACAAAAGGTGCATCTATCAATATGATGGCAAAAATAATATCTGGCTCTAATAAATTTTTTTAAATTTCTAAGTAACATAAACATATACAGTTAATTACTTGACATTTATAGTTAAAACAATTTTAAAAAAAAGCAAAAAAAATATGTGCACGATTAAAAAATAGAATTAAATAAATTGTGTATTACGAAAATAAGTAAAATGGTATTTATTGAAAATTATTAATAAACTTTGGCATCAGTAAATATAAAATGAAAAATCACTCTGTATTGTGTTGATATAAGTTTACCATTTATTAAATGACTTATGAAATTGAGAGTTTTTTTTAGTGTTATATTTTTTTAACTTTAATTGGGTTTTATTTATGTTATACCGGAAACATTGAATCAAAGTTTTCAAAGATTGGTATAATCATCACTATTTATATTGTAAATCAAATTCAATTTTCTGTATTTGGACCACAAGCTTGCAAAAGCCCTCTATCACACATAAGTTTTAGCCTCTTTACTGGATCGTAGGTTCTAAAACACAAATTCACGTTAAGTATTTAAACTTTCCTTAGATAAGAAAAAATGTAAATCAAAAAGATAAGATTACTTGTAAAATTCAGCATATTTCTTCTTCCTTGGCTCCATTACCATGTATTTCCAAGCAAGTCCTCCTAATATAGAGCATGCAACAGCTCCATATATAGCTTTGGTGATTCTGGTTTGCAGAAGATTCCTCAGCTGAGGCTTTGGAATCGTTGTTGTAGTCATCTGAAAAAAGTAATTTTTTATAAAAAAAAAAAATAAATTTTAAACATCAAAACGTCTAGTACCATGGACTGTCAGAGAGGAGTTTAAAGTAACCTTTATAGGTACACAATACAAAATATAGCTCTGTACATGTCTAAAATGTGTAAACATGCAAGTGTCACATCCAAAAACAATATACTACAAGTTTCAATAAAAAATTAAAATTATCTTGTGCATATTCTAAAAACGACGCAAATGCCAAAGGACTGAGAAAGTAAAGAGAAGGGGTGGGTACACAAGTTACTGAGACAAAACCTCAAAAGTAGATTCCGAAGTTACGTAATAAATACTTTTCTCGAGGATTCTATATAAAATTACTCCTACAATTACCGTATTTTTTGACAGTTATTCCTTGAGGTCGAGTCTTGTGTACTTTATTATCTGTTATCGATCTGATTGACGAGAACCAGTAACAAGGCTTCCCGATTCTTGGCAGATGAGAAAAATCGTACACTGTTTATACATATATATATGGGGTACACTCTGCGTACTAGCAGACACTCAGCAGCTATGCTGTGTGACGTCATCGGAGTATCGGACGAAAATCGAATACGGAATCAAATTTCGATTAATAAACGAGTAGGTATAAATAAAAAACATACAATAAGAATTATAAACATTATCAAAGATATTTATTTATACAAACAGTATAGCTTGGTGTTATTTTTTACGACGAATTAAAAATATTGTTGATGTCAAGTACTGGTGAATGTTATTTATTTTTTTAAATCACTCCAAGATGAATTTTTTATAAATTTTTTATTATGGCAAACAAAATTTAATTCGTGTACGTTTTGCATAGCTACGAGGAAATATCAGCAGTTATATATTTTGCAGGAGAAAGGTTTTAAATCTGATGAAATTTGTAATATATGTTTTGATCTGCGGCAAATTAGAGTATAAGTACTTGAAATAATTAATTTTTTAAAGTAATCAATAAAGATGGATGTTGTTTTCATTTTTATAACAATCACATATAAAATATGTAAAATTACATAGGATCTTATAAATAGATACTTTAGTAATTTTTAGATAATTTACACAATAAACTTTTTTTTTACAAATCGTCCCAAACGTCAATATTTTCTCTAGCAACATTTTTATTGTCTCTTCTGTTTTTATTTTGCACTCCAGATTTTTTGAGTTTCCTCTGAACCTGCAATTTTGTTGTTTTCTTTTCACGTTTCAATAAATCTGCTTTGACTCTTTTTTTCACCAAACCTTCTGGTATTATAGTAGAAGCTATGGACATAGTTTCCGTGTAATGAGAAGTATCACTTGCACCACAGTCAAGATAAAAATCAGCCATCATTTGTTTAAAATCATGTTCGGCATCAGGTACATGGTCTGGGTCATACTTAATATCTTTATTGGAAGATTGATTCGATGTTTTACTATCATGTGATTCACTATACTCAAATGAAACTTGCTCTAATTCTTGAATTTTCAATGAGTCTGTATCATCATTCACAGATCGATCTACTTCTTGATCTCCATTTGGTGGTATAAATGTATTCTTAATTAAATCATTTTCTAATTTAAAAGTTTCTTTGTCATCGCAAACTGTAGAGTCACTGTCAGATTCTTCTTTTTCTTGAAAAGACAAAGTAACTTCTTTATCCATGCCTACATTCAATTCATCCACTTTTCTTTGTAAGTCACTAATGGACTTTTCCATATTTTCTTCTTCATCTTCTCCATCTTCATCATCGCTCACCTCAGGTGAATGTAAGATGACTTTTGATGTCTTTTTGTATTCTGCATTCTTTTCTCCAACGATTTCATTAAATTCCGGATATGTTGTGCTTTCATAAGCGAAGCGTCTTCTGAAAAACTCTCTTATACAATTTACATCACGCTCAAAGTGAAGTTCTGCATCTTCATGTTTAGTGGATATCATCTGTGGAAAGTCAATGAGAATAGGCGTCTCATCAGCCATGAGCATGATATTGAACTCATTGAAATCACCGTGTATGACTCCATGGTAAGCGAGCCTGCAAATAGTATTCATCAGTTCATCGTACAACTTTTCCACATTCTCAACCTCGTGGACATTACATAGCGGTACACCATCGATCAGCTCCATGATAATGCAGTGCCTGTTAACATCGATTGGTTTAGGTACTTTGAAACCTCTGTCGTGAAGAGCCTTCATGAAAGCAAACTCTTTGGCAGCAGATACCCTCGACATGTAAAGCCAAGACATGTGTTTTCTGTGTTGATGGTAGTCTCGTTTGATTTTTATATTACGGAAACAAACCCTGCCTAATCTGTGAAGCTTAAGGACGTAGTGTTCCACGCGATTCTTGGATACGACGTAAATATTTGACTCTTTGCCGACGCCAATCTGGTTGCCAAACGAGTCGAGGAGTCCACGAGCTGCGAGTGTCTTGAGTGCCAGGTAATCGTAGCCGGTGTTGGTCAAACGATAGCCCTGGTAACGCTTAGTGCTCTCGTAACTGAGTAGCCGGTGCTTGCACAGGTCCTTCATGATTTTGTGAAGTCCGCCGTGACGAAGATTGGCGATTTGAGCGGCGAGGGCTCCGGGTACGAGCTCATGGTTTTTCATACCCATCTCGATAGCTGTCAACACGCGGAAGTCTTCGCGCGTCAAGTAGCGCATCATCTTCACGTCCAGCTTGCCCATGTTATTGTTGCTTTTTCAATACGCTGTGTCTATTCGCACCAAATCCACGTAATTACGTGGATATAAGGTTAGAAATTTTAAAGAAAACGAATAAAATAGAAACCGTCTGCTTTACAACTTATTGTTGTGTGCGCCACTGTGCGCGCTTTTGTGCAAATTGTGCACTCGTACTCGTATAGTACTCGTATAGTACTCGTCTACTCGTAGGCGTGTTTTTGTGCACTCAACTTGTTCTTGTGCATGCTTATGCGTTTTTATGCAGATGTCGTGACCGCGGGCTTCCGTAACTCTGTACTCTGCAGCAGTCTGTCTCCTGAGGGCTGAGCAGACTCTGCTCTGCAGCTCTGCACTGTCTGAGAAGTTTTAAGGAAAGAAAAGAAATGGGAAAGGGGCAATGGGGCATAAGCTGACATATGGGGGGGGGGATAGGGTTATGACGCGTGTGCCCCCAGTGCCGGGGGTGGCGAGGTGACAGCGGTCCACCCCAATTGGCGCGAAATTCAAATCGAAAGAACAATTGTGAATAAACAGGTTTTCATAGTTAATTAAGTAAAGTTTTATGTACATCGAAAATTACAGTACTGATTTCCGAAATAAAAAAAAACTCAACACTTCGTAGTAATGAAATATATAAAATTATGTGCAATCGGCTAATAAGAACAATATGAAAATTATTGATGGATAAAATAGAAATACTAAACTCTTTTGGATGAAAAAAGGCCGCTTTTATTTCTCTCATCTCGCTTTAAAAACAGTCTTGTTGAATATAACAACATCATTATGTTTCTTTACATTCAGAGATTAATTATTTGAAAAGTATGGGTAAAAGAAGTAATTTTCCATTACTTAATGAACTGGTGGTGTGGGGGAGGTGCTGACGAAAGACTGTATACTTACCAAAAAAAAGCTGGCTGTTCGACAAGTCGACGAGGAAAACAAAAGAGAGGGGAAAATATATAGATGTTATGAAAATAGGGTACGTTTATTTTCTCTCTACAGCACGCACGGCATATCAAATGTCCGAAACTCCGGAACTCTGAAGTCTCGAGAGGAGAGAGCGATCGAGAGAGAGGAGAGAGCCCTTCTTTCAGCTTTCAGTGACGGAAAAGTCTCGTGTGCGGATAGTGGAGCACACGGAAAGAGAGGCTCTGTTGAAATCGTCTGCTGTGCTCCTCGTGTAATCAAGCCACGTTTGAAAAAAAAAAAAACTTTTTTTTTTTTAATTAATTTGCGGTTTCTTGCATACCATCGTCGTCGCGTCATCGCGCGAATGTGAACCTTCTTATTCGATAGATTTATTTAAAAGACAAAAAAAAAAAAAAAAAAACAGAAGAATAAATCTCAACTGTGCTCGGCTCTAATCAAATGGCTACGAACAATACGGAAGAGGTCGAGGTATGCAGGTGCATTGTACAATATTTAATGAGTTGGATGTGTTCATTGATACATCTGCAAATTAAGGGAGCTATGACATACACATAATGTACTACATTACACAGTATTTTGGTTGTTCTACGTTATAACATATCAGCAGCCCCAGAGGAAGATGTGTGCTTAGCTCGTTTTTTGTAATATACCTAGTCTAATGCCCGAATCGTCTGTATATTTTTTATCTTTGCAACTCGGTCGCTCTCTTTTCTCCACGCATTTGGAAATATGTTACATGTGTGTACGTAATAGGCGAGGACGAGGGTATGGTGTACCCAACGTGTGTCTCTTATCTCGCGTATGTTTATATATGTAACTTTCCAATATTAACGGTACGACTGGGATTTATTTTTTACTTCATCTTACCTATACGTGGTACAGGTCACAATTTCCACGGAATTTTTATGGTACGTGCAATTATTTACTCCGGTAAGGATGTGCATATTTCACAGAAACAAAATCTAAAACTACTTACTGAAGAAAATGTAAGCTATGTTCAGTTAGTTGACTCGAATGATTTGTGAATGTTCAATTTTTTTTTGTGAAAGGTATATATAGCTTACGATCCGTTGTCTTGGTGATTATTATTATTATCGAATATATATGTATGGAAATTTTATTTTTATTGTTGGGCAGTTTTTCGTCTGTCGAGTTGGCTATAAATAGATTAAAATTATTCCGTAAAATCAAACTTCATAGTTTTACGTGGAACTGTAATGGGCATGCATGTATGCCTTATTGTGATAAAACTAAAATAGAGTGAAATAATAGCATCAAAAATGTTACGTGCACATCTGTTTGAAGTGGTGAGACATACTTTTATTTTTTAATTTTAAATATATCGCGTATCTCTGGATAATTTGCGAAATACCGAAACTTTATTTTTCAATACTTTTGCGGTGCATCGATCAGTATTACCATAACTTTAGAGAAATTGAGTAAATAAATATTTGAATTATTATGAAACCTCACATTTTTCAATAGTTTTCTCAAACTAATATTATTGAGTTTGATTATTCTTTTTTAAAAAAAATTTTGAGTAATCATAAATTTGATCCTGATTATCTACACTCGTTTGAAAATTTTGTGCGTTTCTAACGTATTACTTATCACTCTTTCTTCAACGATGATCAAGCAATCAAGCAGCAGATAGTAGATTATTTGTAATTTTATATATATATATATATAGTGAACAGCTGCAAACTCGAGTTTTCCACTCAATTACGACATTAAAAGACATTTTCACCCTAAATTACGTAAATACACCTACTACTTATGATAAATTATTATGAATGATACGCGGATTTGATTTGCCCCCCCTTGACTCCCCCAACACACTGGTCTATCACACACCCCGATGTGCTTCAAGAAAGAATGCGAAAAGTATCCGTAGCGGGTGTAGCGGCGCCCCATCGTCGCGGCATTTCCCTTTCTGGCTACTGCTGTGAAGCGGTGAGCCACGGCAGCTCAGCTTTTCTCTCTTTGTAGGAGTTAAAAATCGCGATTAAAATTGCCTTTTTTTGTTAAATCGAATTGAATATTGGTGAACGTCTTCATCCAGTTTTACTGTTTTCAAAACGTACATTTATTTACAATCATCGAAAGAGTTTTTGTCTAGCATACAGAGAGGATATAGAGATGATCGACATCCAGAAGCCAGAGTCTGCACTCGTTCGTAAATCGGTAAAATTGTTGTTCTTTCGTCTATAATAGTTATGTTTATTCGAGGTAGCGAACTTTCACTCTTTGTCAACATTCTGCCCGTCTTTCAATATTTTTTATTCCAACAAAATTTACGAAACGCTAACGTGAGAGGTTAGGTTTCTCACTTGTAAGTTCCATACATATACACACACACACACGTATTCATGTCCGTATAAATTTTTTTTCAGGAAATTCAGAAAAAAGAGCAAGAGTCACCTAAACCTGAGGAGTTCCCGCCTGAACTTCTGATTAAGCATCCACTACAGAACACATGGACCCTCTGGTACTTTGAGCTGGACAAGAGCAAGGGATGGGAGGACAGCCAGCGGGAGATCACCAGTTTCGACACAGCTGAAGATTTCTGGAGGTAGGCCATACCTTGTTGCTCAGTTCTTATGTAAAAGGCTACAGAGAAGTCAGTTTTTCCATTGAACATAATTTGTTTATATTACCAAGCTGTACAGTTGTTTTGGTAAATTGAGACTTTGGTATGAACGAATCATTTGCATATGGTCACGAACAACTAGTCTATATTTAGAAGTCGTATTATAGCCTGCATTGGTACATCATTTAATTGCCCTTTTTATTGTATCTCTAATATTTAGATATTTTCCAATACATTTTTGTTATCAACAAAAAAAATAGTACATTCAAGTTTAATAGTTTCTATTTTTGTGCAGTCTTTACAACCATATCAAACAAGCATCCGAGCTGAAAATAGGATGCGACTACAGTATGTTTAAGCAAGGCATTAGACCCATGTGGGAAGATGATGCCAACAAACATGGAGGAAGATGGCTGATCAATTTGGATAGAAAACAGAGATCCGTTGATTTAGATAATTTTTGGTTGGAGATTTTGCTTTGTATGATTGGTGAAGGATTCAATGATAGTTCAGATACGATTTGCGGAGCTGTTGTTAATATTAGAAGTCGACAAGACAAAATTGCTCTTTGGACCGGAAATGCTAAGCTCGAAGACAACATTTTAGAGATTGGGTACGTATTCGAATAACAGTTTGTGTATAAATATATAAATTATAAAATAAGTTACAAATTATGAACATAATATTTTTTGCAGAAGAAAACTGAAAGAAAGACTAAAGATTGCATCAAAGCTTCAAATACCGTATCAAGTACATAGAGATACCATGGTAAAATCAGGAAGTACGATAAAGTCAACCTACACAGTTTAAGAAGTAAGTGGGACCGATATCACAAGCTTATGCGTGCTGTTTTTTAAGAGGATTAATATTTAAGATCCACTCGCTGACTGGAATCAGATGTTGAAAGATTTAAAAAAAAATTCAGAAACTAAGTGATGATCCTTTTTTTCGTTACCACTTAAACTTTTTGACAGTGTTGAGCAAAGTTAAAGAAAAAAAAGAAAAAAAAAAACTGGTGTTATTGAATATGTTTGCTGAATGATAATAGATTAATATAAAATACGTATGAATAAGTAAAACTGTACAATATATTTGAGTATAATTGAGAATGTTTGGTGAGACAAGTGCAGATTGTTGTAGTGTCGATCCCATCATATTCATCGAAAATTAAATTTAGTTTGTTTTTTAGTTTAATTTTTTTTCTTGTATTTTTAGAAAAAATACAACAATCTGCTCAATAATCGTTATTCACAAGCTACATTAATTATTAGATATGCGCATCCATTTTCATGAATCTTATGTAATTCAGTTTTCTATATAAGGTATGTTTGAAAATAATGTGAATAAATATATACTTTGCACAATGGTTTTTTTTATTTTTAAACAGTGTGTAAAATAGTCTTATAAATTATGATGCGATACTTTTAACTATTTTTCTAGTCAACCACTGAAGACTCTAACCAAGGCGAACGATAATATTCAAGAATTACGTGTTCGACATGATTTTTTAAATCTGTTCTTCTAGATCTTTCCAATGCATGCATCAATTCTATTTTCCAATTGTGATGATTTTTCGAAAAGTATAACTCAAGTACCTAGAACATAAGTATATTAAACAAGCCATTTTGAAATAGAAGATATTTTCGGCAAACCTTTTTGAACGATTTTTCATCTCTGTGCTCCTGTGTGCAATATTTTGCTTCTATTTCTACAATGATGGATTCTTCAATTTTTAATCTCCTACTTACATCCTTCCAAAATATACCAATTTTTTTGCCTACTCCATTGGAAACTGAAAATATTTAAAATCATTAAGATTGTTCATAAAATTAGATAGCCAAAAAAAAACTCCGACAGCCTACTGAGAGTTCAAAAGTTTTCATCTTACTTAAATCTTTTAGTTCTTTTTCTTGATCAACGTTGGACGGTAATGTGGGTGTATGATTTTGGGTCTGTTTCACAGTAATTCTATGGTCCATAGAAATTCCCACATCGATATTAGATGTATAGAATGGCATTTTACTATCACCCAAAATAGGCGGCGTTACTGACGTTGGTTTAATTGTATCAGTCTTTGGTACAATAGCTGTTAATTGACAAGATAATGTGATATGACCACAATTACATTAGAAACGGGTAAAAGAGTAAGAGCAACGAAATTATTATTTTTCAAAGTAGCGCAAACTCTTCCATGATAAATATTATGCTTAATACCAAACAAATAGTAGGTGGCTCTAAAAAAATTTTGGTGCTTCTTCAGTGTTATAAAATGGATTTTCATTTGGATTGCCACAAGATTTAGCAATAGGTGTTTTACATTTTTTGCATACCAAGTAAAATAATTGACTCACCAAGGTTGTATAAATTGTTTATTTGAGAATAATTTTCTTCCAACCACAATTCATAGTTCAAAATTAACTCTTCAACCGATGTATCCCTTATAAACTCTTTTGCAACGTGTTTTATTACTCGTATATCATTATATTGTAACACACCACGTTTTTCTAAAACTTTTAATAAAATCCTGATGTCGATAATTGTCTCCAACATACGCCTCGAGTTAATTTGATTCTTGAATTGATCCTTCAATTGTTCGAGTACATCACCGTGAACATGTGCTTGTGATATTTGTTCAAACTGACGAATGAACTCGAAATATCTGTCCAAGCCCATTACCATGATGAAACTACTTAATTGCAAATATAAAAAGTCAGGGCCAAGTGCGTGACGTGCGCATGTATGACGATAGGTACTGGAGCTACGGGATTCCCCTTTTTGTCAATTTTATAACAATTCCAGCTCAGGATTGGTTGATACTTCCCTTCTCCGTAAATTAAGTAAACTTTGCGTTGGACATGTGTTACATAGTATGTACTGGATTTTATAGTCGAATTGTTTCCCTTTGAATGCTTTTACTCGAAAAATGATTTTTCTGAAAATAAAAAAAATAAAAAAAGTAAAAATAAAAAATTTGGATATGCGTAAGAAATTATCTCGGTTTATGACATTTTGTTCTGAAAAGTGTTGAATCAATTATTTTTCGTCACTGCGAAGTCGTGCGTTCTACGAAAGTGGAACCTGAATTTTTGTTTTCTTACTTATAATAATTTGAAAAACCTTTAAACATTTGCAAAAAATTTTGTAGGTTTGTTTGGCTTGAAACAAATTTACTTATTCCCTACATTACTTTCAATTTTCCAAGAAAACGGATAAAGTTGTTACGGCATAAGCAGAGTTCTCAAGTATTGTCATGAATCATGACTGCGGCATCTGACGATTATTCGAATATAAAAAAATCGTGACGATTGTGATAAATAAACGCTAGGCACATTACTCATGCAAGAAAAATAGAAAAAAAAAATGTAACAATAATCTAGTATCGATAGCAAGAGTAAGTATATTTGATTTTAAATAATAGAGTATAAAATCGAATCTAGAATAAAAATTCTTTGCAAATAACAGACAAACTCAAAATAAGTCAGCATGACCAAGTATTTAAAATCACATTATTTCCGATTGTTGCAGTGTTCCCGTATAATCACTTAAAATATATATTAGCTTCCAGGCAGAATAAATTATTTATAATTGTAGTTCGATACCACGTACACGTTACCTATACGCTGTATATGGATACGTGAAAATAATCATATGAAAATAAGTAATAAACTTGAGATATTTCGTTCATAAATATAACAACGACAACATCAATTTAAAAAACGCAAATTGTTATTCACCTATAGTATATTTATTTGTATGTATGTCAGTTATCGATTTTAATAGTAGATCTGCCGCCATATGATTCCAACCTTTTACGGACTCGATTGCATAAATTATATACTGTACGAGATCAAGAGATCTATGTAAGATCTACACGTAAACGAAAAAACGTCGTACCTGATGATAAATGCTTTCCAAGCTTTATACTCTTGCTGATGTCTATTAAAAATTCATAAAGAAACTCTTAATAAACACTTCTTATAATGAACTCTATATATACACTCATGATATGTTTTGGTCAACAAAGTGATGATTTATTTGTCAATGGTCGGGCGGCGCCAGCGTTAACCTGCACTAACTGTCGGTGGGTTCCGCATGTCAACAAACTTCGATATTTTTAGCTGTTTTCACTGTTCACTCCCATCACCCATGCCACCCGATAAGTATTTCGGAGTTTGTTGACATGCGGAACCCATCACCGACAGTTTGACAGTTTGACAGTAATTAGTACAGGTTGACGCTAGCGCTGCCCGACCATGCGGCATTACTACGAACCACGACCTACGCAACTTATCTGCTGGGGCAGCATTTGCGGAATACAGCATACAGGCCATACAGCCTCTGATTTTATCATTCTGGGTAAAGAGAGCACAGTGTAAGAGATATATAACGTGAAGTTATAATAGTAATTATAGTAAATAGTAATCACTACTAAGTAGTGCCATATGGTTGATTTTTTAAACCATATTGTAAACTTGCCGCAAATAGCACAAACAATGTCAATTTTTTATTTTCTACCTATAATATTAGTTGCGGCTGGTTTATAATTGATTACATGGCTCTACTGTTAGTAGTGATAATTATTTTGATCAGCGCCATCTAGCGTTGCGGATTTCTGAACAAAAAAGTGGCCCTAAAATTCTGAATGAGAGCTTTGGCGCTTAGAGTCATTTACTCAATTATAAACCAGCCGCAACTCATTGTGTAGCTATAAAATGAAAAAATAACGATATATGTGTTTTTGGCGGCAAATTAACAATCTATCTTCTACCAAAAAATTAACCTCAAAAGTACAAATACATGTGAAGACAAATTTTGAGTAAAAAATAGATTGTTAACTTGCCGCCAAAAACACATATATCGTTATTTTTTCATTTTATAGCTACACAATGAGTTGCGGCTGGTTTATAATTGAGTAAATGACTCTAAGCGCCAAAGCTCTCATTCAGAATTTTAGGGCCACTTTTTTGTTCAGAAATCCGCAACGCTAGATGGCGCTGATCAAAATAATTATCACTACTAACAGTAGAGCCATGTAATCAATTATAAACCAGCCGCAACTAATTTAATAGATAGAAAATAAAAAATTGACATTGTTTGTGCTATTTGCGGGAAGTTTTCAATTGATCTTTTACCCGAAAATCGACCTCTAAAAGTATAAATACACTTATAATAGCCATTGTGGTAACTAGTTGGTATTAATGTAGTAATAGTACCTACATAGACGTAAGGTAACAGCGATAATTAAGACACACCATAAGCTAAAGACAATTATCAGATGTGATTTAAGAGGATTGGGACATTTGGGACTTGGGAGTGGTAAAGTACTGGAGTTAATTAATAAATTAGAGCTAAAAGGGCGAGAAGAGAGAGATACTACTAGACTTATGGTTTTTTAAAAGAAAAACAACACTCGGCAGAGTTTACAGATGTACAGATTGCAGTGAACCCACAAGTATCCCCACTGTACCACAACTACCTATACTACCTATCATCAATATTTAATATAAAGTAAAAATAAATTTAGATCTGCTCTCTACTGATTTCCGAATAACTCCCGTGCTTTCTCCGGGTCAGTTTATACAGGTATAGCTTATAGCGAATAGCGCACGCGTGCCCCAGCTAGCAGCCGTGGAGAAGATGCTGCTGCCACAGTTGCGTGTGCATGCATGGGATCTGAAGCTGCTGTGACTGCTGTGTATGATGCTGCTCGAAGGAGGTGAGGGTTAGAAGTTTTGGAACACCTTATCCTTACTAAAAGAGTAAGCAAGAGGAGAACGAAGGTGTACACGCAGCCCTCTCATTCTTTCATTCTCTCTCTCTACATATATGAGCATATACACACACACAGTGTCCCACACGTACATCCATATACCTACCTAGTTCGTTGTCGTCGTGCCGCGCCGCCGTGCCGTGGTCGTCAAAGTGTTACTGTTCATATGCTTGGGTGTTCACATGCACACTGAACAAAAGTGCGAAATTGCGAATCTGCGAATGTTGCAAAGTCCGAGTGCAGATCGAGAAGACTAGCAAACTAAGTACAAAATATAAGCAGCAGCAGCAGCAAGGAAAGCAAGAGAAAAGGGGAAGACGTGGACAACCAGTCAGCTTCAGCTAACTATCCGCAGCCTGGCGTACGACCCTGCCTTCCGTCGCCGTTGTCTACGTTGCCGTATCCTTCTTTCTCTCGTCGCTCCGTCTCTTTATATACTTACCTCTGTATGTGTCCCTCGCCTTGGATACGAGAGTAACGAGAGGCTAAAGAGGAGGAGAAGGAGGATGAGGAGGAGGTGAGAGACACATACGCACGACACGACTCTCGTCACGGATACACTAATGTTGAGAGAGTACAAGAATAGTGTATCAAAAGAGCAAGAAAAACCTGGGGCAGAGCACTGGCCAAGAGGAGAGAACACGATACGTCGTCCAGAGTCCCCTTCTTCAAGGTAAACACACGCCTTTCGTGCTCGCTTATGGGCTTGAAGTTCATCCAAGTGCATGTATGCGTGTATGTTTGTATATGGGGACGTCTTGTTTCTCTCCGTTCAGAGCCGCTTTTTATCTGGCTTTTTTTTTTTCATTCACTTGCTCGTAGTGTGTGCCCTACACGGTGCACACTTTTTTTCAGTTTTACTGGTGGTAGTTAATTATATTGAGTTATTGTTTTTGTTCTTTAGTGACATGTATTTAGTTGGAGAGAAGTATAGTGATATTTTTTTCTGTGTGCAATAAAGTATTAAGAGTCGTGTAGGTTTGATGAAGGCCTTTTTTTGTTTGGACTGAAGTTTCATTGAATACGTAAATGAAGGTGGCAGGCTTGCGAATTTTTTAGTGTGCAGATTATTGGTGTTGTTTTTAAACGCTATCACTGCTCGCCTGCCAAAAGTTTGGAGTTGTGCCAAATGAGTTGACTGTGCAAATTCTGGATTATTTTGTTAGAAGGTATTGGATTAACGATACAGTGTATACTCAGTGATAATGATTCAATTTTGCATGTGTTCCAGTTTTTTTGGGTTATTTATTTAAGTAATTACTTGAATTAAATTTTTTAACACCATGTTCAACTGATTTAAGAACAAATTTTTTTTTTCTTACGATGCTGCTTAAAGCTACTTTTCAATTAATCTCGGTAAATTGAGGTTAAAATATCTGAAAAGACATCCTTTCTACATATGTGACAGTATTTCACTTATCTAAGAAGGTGTGTAAACAGCACTTAAGGAATTGATGTAAATCAAACATATTTTTTAATAGTCTTGACACAGTAATATCAATCACATTGTGTAAATATAAAAAATAACAATATTAAATTGAATCTCATTTAAAATTTAAATTGTAAAGTAGTTTTTGTTCAATCATGATAGTAATGATAGTATATATAGCAAAGTATTTGTTTGTCGTGGAATGAAAAGTAATTAATAGCTATTTGTAATGCTTGAATCATTCCTTAATATAACGTGTTTTCTCACTATGGATAAATTAAAACGTCATTATTTTTAACAAAAATATATTCAAACTATTTTCTCAATCAAGAGTTTTTATCTTCCTGAAATCTAAAATAATGTTAAAGTCAATTATTGCCCCATTTTATACTTCACGAATCGTGTGGAATAATTTTCAGTAACGTAAGATTTTTTTTGAAGAATCAATTGCGATAAGATATGCGAATATCATTGCAGATAACATGTTATTTATCATCTAAAATCTAGTGTCATGTCAACTCATTGAACAATGTCAACTCGTTGTACGTATTTTTCATTAAATAAAAATTGTTAGAAAACACACCATGATAAATAATAATTAGCTGATTGAATTTATTTATTTGTTCTAATAGTTTTGTAAGTAAGTTGTAAATAGATGTAAACTTTATTTCTGTGATGATTAATTGGTTTTTCAAATGCGTGACTAATATCAGACAAGGTTTTCCTTTATCCAATGATTGCTTTTGCTTTAAAAATTTTACTACATTATATCTAATTTTTTCTCTGCTTTTAATGTAAAAAGAATTCATCCAAATTTTTGAAGACAAACTTTATTTTTTATTATTTTTATTATTGTAAACTTCTATTTAACAAACATTTTTGCATATATTAATTTAATTATTATATATTTTTCCAGTCAAAATCTGTAATACTTTATACCAACTGTAATTTCTGCAATATCAAAATACTCAAGTGATTCGAAAAGGATACTCTAATGGAAAACTATAGATTTTTGTGTCCAGTAAGGAAATCAAGTTACTGCCTGCCACTGCACAAAAGCATACTCGCGCACAGTTTTCAACTGACGTAAATGTTGTGATAACAGTTTAAAAGTCCATGGAAGTGATGCTATTTGAATATATTCCATGTATAAACATGTCATTCAGTTTCTCAAAGTACTCTGTGCACTTAACAGCTGAGAAAAACTATTTTAATGTGTGTATTTATTTTTAAATACTGAAGAAAAATGGTACTGCAACAATATCGTCTTTGTTAAAGCAATCTCAAGATTTTTTGTGATCGAGTTGTAACATTGATTTACATGTACACTACAAGATCAAGAATTCAAAACCCCAAATAGATAATACAAAGAAATTGCTCAAATAATTTTATGAAATTTTCGTTAAACTAATGGGAAAGCTCATATAATACTTGAAATTTGCGTTTTTGAGTGTTCATTTGATGAAATTTCCTATTAACATGTGCATAAAGCAACCAAGATTTTTTTTTAAAATAGTATTTTTAAAATGTCAAAATAAACATGAGCAACCATTTTCTCAATGTTTCTTGGATGATAGAGGTCAAATGTGGTAACCCTAAGGTAGCAAGGTGAGTTTGATATCAAAATTAATTTGTCAAAGTGTTCTTTATTACCTTTATTTATTCACAGTTAACGCACCCTTTCTTTATTCATAGTAAATTGATATTTGTATAGATTTTTTAATCTGTCTAAATTGTAAATAAAAAAAACTATGCTCTTTGTATTAACCTTAAAAAATCATGAAATAATAACTTGTAATATGTTCCAGGGTTAATAGATATGGACAACAGTAGCGTTGGAGTTGTGCAAGTATTCGTGGGAGAATGGAGCGCCGAGTACGAGGCACTCTCTATCCGAGCCACAAAGCAAACATCGTCAGCTGAAATAGTTGATTGTATCATAGAGAGGCTCAGCCTCGTCGATGGTAATCTTTCCAATGGCTACGAATTGGCAGAGGTCATTGGAAACTCTGTGGGCCAGGAGTGTAAAGAGCGTAGGCTTGGGCCAACAGAGTGTCCCGTTGCACTTATGTTGCTCTGGCCAAAGAAGAACAATTCTCAGCAAGAGTATTACAAGTAAGATAGTTTGTATTATATTAAGTAACAGTAAATCACAATGAGGGAAGTTTGTAATGCAAGCGTTAATTTGTGTTTGCAGATTTTATCTCAGGAAAAAACAGCCAGATTATCTATGGTCCGACAGCAGATTTCCAATGGATCCACAGTTGCTCAAGGACTATTTTAACCGTTTTCTGTACCAGCCACGCGACAAAGAGTATCCGGACCTCTGCCAACTGCCTGACCTCAACGAACAAACTCTTTTGGACAATCTACGAGCTCGTTTTCTCGCTGGCAACATCTATACTTATGTTGGCAGCATTCTTATAGCGCTCAACCCCTTCAAATTTTATCCGATTTATAATCCAAAATACGTGAAGCTATACCAGAATCGTAGATTTGGTTCAGATATACCGCCTCACATATTCGCGATAGCCGATGCTGCTTACCACTGCATGCTCAAGGAAAAGAAGAACCAGTGTATTGTTATTAGTGGTGAGAGTGGCTCGGGAAAGACGGAATCCACAAATTTTTTGTTGCACCATCTGACTGCTCTCAGTCAAAAGGGCTCGCATGGAAGTGGTGTAGAACAGACGATTTTGAGCGCTGGGCCGGTACTTGAAGCATTTGGTAATGCAAAAACTGCGCATAATAACAACAGCAGTCGATTCGGAAAGTTCATTCAAGTAAATTACAAGGAGAATGGAATGGTTCATGGGTGAGAGATTTGATTTTTACTTTTCATTCAAGTTTAACGTTTTATAACTATTTTCTGTTGTGAGCGAATTTTTCGGTTTAAGTATCGAGTACATTGATTCTTTATTTAATTTGCTTTTCAATTAAAGAAGCTAAATAAAGTCATGTGACTACCTTTTAAAGACATACGATACAGTGAGTCAATAGCCTTGAGCACTTCGTATTTGGTCTTTACTGTCTCAAAACTTATTTCTAAGCAACGTTTTCTGTTTCCAAGCAAGTTTTATTTTGATTGTCGTTTCCTTTTTTCCTCTATCAATATAGCGATTTGCCTTTAACTATCTTTGTGTAAAGGCTTCTGGTCCCAAACAGGTTCTAATATTCACTTATTATTTTTGTTTTTTATTAATGTCTTTCCCCCTGCACGTTTCCCTGTTGATCTTCGTCAGTTCATGTGAAAATTTTTTATTTATTATTGAAAAAAACGCGTTGAATAGTATTTTGGTTTTCAATTTAAATTTTAGTGCCAATCATTTAAATATATCGCTTTAATGGGTCATTACAGAGCTGTGGTACAAAAGTACCTTCTCGAAAAATCACGAATTGTTTCGCAAGGGAGGAACGAACGAAACTATCACGTCTTTTATTATCTGCTGGCCGGGGCAAACGAGCAGGAGAGGCAGGTCCTTCACCTTCGCAACTGCGAGTGGTATAATTATTTAAATAAAAGCGGTTGCTACGGTTTGGAAAACGTCGACGAGCGATACGAGTTTTCAAGATTGAAGCAATCGATGGAAATGGTTGGGTTCACACCTGAAAAGCAAAGGCGACTATTTGCCGTTCTGTCGGCTGTTTTGTTACTCGGTTAGTTGATGAATGACTATAATTGTACATTCGAATAATTGCAATAGTACATACTTATTTATTTCGCAGGAAATGTTGAATTCCAGCCAAGAAAATTTTATCACCACCACGACGAAGCAGTGTGTGTAAAAAATCCAGATGTAGTTGCGCTAATATCTGAACTCTTAAGGGTAAAACAAGAAACTCTTCTGTCAGCTCTCACGGCCAAACGTGCGAGAGCGTCTGGAGAGACTTTGGTCATTAATTACAGGCTCCCGGAAGCTGTTGCTGCTAGGGATGCTATGGCCAAGTGTTTATATGGTGCTTTATTTGATTGGATAGTTTTGCAAGTGGGTATTTAAAAAGATTTTATGCCTCAACAAATGTAAACCAAAATCAATGGTAAACTTTTTTGTAAAGGTCAATCACGCTCTTCTATCCAAAAAAGATACTTTAAGAGAACATCAAGGGAATAGTATAGGTGTGTTAGATATTTTTGGTTTTGAAGACTTCAAAACGTGCAACAGCTTTGAGCAACTTTGTATTAATTACGCCAACGAGCAGTTACAACATTACTTTAATCAACATGTCTTTCAATATGAACAACGAGAATACAGGAAACAAGAAATCAGGTGGACAGATATCGGTTACAGCGACAATTCTGGCTGCTTGAATCTCATTGAAGGCAAACCAAATGGTTTACTTTGTTTATTAGATGATCAGTGCAAGTAAGTATATGACGGAGACTTTTTTCAATAACTACGTTATGTTTGTACGTGAGCGACGTTTTATTTTTATTTTACAGTTTTCCTGGTGCCACTAACGAAACACTTCTCCAAAAGTTCAATTCAGTTCACAAAGATAATCCGTTTTACGAAGCACCACAACGAAGAGAGGGCACATTTGTCGTCCGGCATTACGCCGGGGCAGTAAAGTATCAAGCTGCTAACATGAGGGAGAAAAATCTGGATCTGATGAGGCCAGATGGTGTCGTTGGAGTTCTAAAAAATTCCTCGTTAGCCTTTGTACGCGAACTGGTTGGCGCCGACCCCGTAGCCGTTTTTCGATGGGCTATACTTCGAGCTTTCTTTCGAGCTCACTTTGCTTTTCAAGAAGCTGGAAGAGCACATAGGCACGGGCGAGGTATATACATATACATATTTTTTAATTTGATTAATGTTTAACGAGACTTGTTTAAGTGAAATTACAATTACAAAAACTTTTTTACAGCTGATGGAAATAAAGTGTCTGTGCAGAACAGATACAGAACTCCGAACGAGAATGTAATCAGGTAAGTGTTTCAATTTCTTATCGCATATAGTTATACCACTGCAGTAATAAAAATTAAAATGTCTTGGAAATAAAAGTTGGTAACCCATCCCTAAATTTCTATATGTTTATCAGTATTACCAATCTCTTTAATTAAGCCATTACTTGCAACTGAACATTGAAATAATTACTTATCTTGTTTGTGTGCATTAATAATTCATTGCATTAGAAAAAATGCCCCTCGACTCATAATAAAAAAATCTTAGTAGTCAAAAAAATGTATAACGTAGTGGAATACTTGGCATTCATAAATCAAAGACAAAAAGGTGATGACACTATAATTGTCCAAAATGTCTTCTGTCCCTGTAGCCATCTTGTGACGTTATCTGCGGTGAATCTAACTGTAAACAGGATTGCGTAAGTGGTCCTTTGATCCACTGTTTGTGTATACTGTTTGAAGGAACTTTTTTTTTATTTTATTTTTTTGTATTATTTTAAAAAAATTCTTTGATCTCTCATCATTCAACCTACGATTAAAGTATCATTTTTAATTTTCACTTGAATGTAAATCGTCATTCCTTTGTTGGTAAATGTTTTTTAAAGTTAGATACCGTTACAATTTAAATTAAATTTTTATTTTTTTTTATTTTAGATTTTTGATTTCATCATTCTGTTACGTGTTGTATGAAATTAGAATGTAGCTAATCAAAAACTAGATACATCTTACGATATCACAAGCCTATTGTTCATAAAATCATTGCATATATTCACTCAATGGCATTATATTGTACGCGGTTTGCTCATCTCGCTAGAAAAAGAAGTTGATCATCCAAAACGATGACCACACTCGATCAATTGTCATTACCGTCGTCATTATTGTCACGCTGATATGCGATATTTTCCACAAGATGTACGAATACTTGATTATTAATGCAATAGCTAAAAAACGACATTATGTAACCAAGTACTGTATGAAAGTATTACTTTGGAAAATACTATGTGTGTGTGAAGCGACTGTAGTGCGTACCTATATACGGAAAAAAAATGAGATGAACTCGGCGCTCGTCTAAAGCATGAGAGCATCGTTTCTTTCCAGTTCCCATAAACAACAGAGCCGCGCGGGCTATCAGAGGCAGCAGCAGCGCAGCACAAGCCAGGCTACCGTAGCCCCGAACTGCGCTACCCTTACACTTAACAGTGACAGCCTTAATAACAACAACCATCACCACCACCATCATCATCATCACCATTACCATCACCACCATCACAACAACAACAACAACAATAACAACAACAACAATAGGGTGTCGTGGCCGCAGTTCCGAAATGTTAATCAAGCGAGCGGTGGCGGGGCCGTGTTGGGCAAAAGTCCGAGGCAGCAGTACCAGCCGGCCGGTGGCGCTGGTCGGGAACACGAGCCCAGTTATCCGAGAAATAGGCCGGGTCGAGACATAAAGCTCGACTCGTCGAGAGCTATGCTGATGCTGAAAGACGAGGCGAGCGTCATGGAGCGCGCCAATCAGATTGTCATGTATGTAATGCCGATTGCCGATTGCGCTCCCCCTTCCGATCGCACGCGTTATTTGCCTTTTTTTTTTTTTTTTCAAAAATTTTACCATCATTATTATTTTCATTCATATAACTAGACTTATCAATAACTACGATTGGATGGCATTTTTTTTGGATGTGCTTATCTTACGTTGGTTGAAATAAAATGAAAAATCGTTTCGATGCAACGAATATTGACTATATTTTCTGACCGTTACACTTATCAAAGTGAAAAAAGCCTACGATAAACATATTCAATTGTAGCGTTTAGGTGCTTATAGACTTTTCTTCTTACTGTAAAAGCAGAGTTTTGCATTAGAGAGTACAAGATACGTACATCCACATGATATAAGCTACGCGCACTCACACACACGTTCGGCAGGTTTGTTGAAAAATTAAAAACGGAGCTTTCGGAATAATCATCGCACAATTGAAGATAAAAAAACCTCATTATCGAGGGTGTGGATTTAGCCTGGGTTTTACATTAAAAGGGTGAAGGGTTGCGTGCTATTATTTGTAACTCTTGACTTTGCATTTATCAAAAGTACCGTTAGGTTTTATGGAACTCGTAGAAGATTAATATAGGCACTGCGTGTTAACGAATCATAGGCTCTGTAGCAGGAATGGAACAGTACACGTAGGCGCTCTTGTAAATGCGTTGTCTTGGACTTTTCCATCTCTGGTTCAAGTGAAATAAGTAGATTAACATACACAAAGTAGTTTGCACCGTTACAAGTAAAAAAAACAAAAAAAAACAACACATTTTTTCAATGGGCCCCGTATTTATAATTACAGTCCGCACAATAATTTTTGTAAATAACAATTAGTAACTGTTCTCATCATCACTGATTCATTATCATTGATCGATCTTCACTCGAGGATACATCATACATTCATTTTTTACCAAAACTTAATTCGCAACTATTATTTGTTTCATCCTACGAGAATTTCCATTTGCGCAATAGCTGGTTTCTCGTAGTTTGATGAAACAAAGAGATACTTATCGTGCATGAAAATTACCGTTCCGTCCATCCAGCAAATCGACTCCAAGAAACTTCATCACGTTTCCGTGAATCGATTCGCTTGATGAGTCAGTCACTTGCTCAAGACACGTTTGATGCATGGTTCTGTACTAAAAAATGAAATTAAAGCCACCAAGAATTTTTACTTTTATTATTTCTTGATTAGATTTAGATCGTATCGAGACAAACAGTGATTGCTATTGATATTTTAATCGTTAGGCTAGAAGTTTCATTTAGCATTTACTGGGAAAAACTTTAGGTTTTTCCAATCTTATGCATAATATTTTTTGTAATTATTTTTCTAGGATTGTTTTAAAATCATTAGAACGTACCAACACAGTTGAAAACTCCACTCTGTATTGTTTCACATTTTCGATAATTCTCTTGCACATCGGATTGACTTTGATCGTTTGGTAAAATTAGACACTTTACATTTCACTTGGCACACAATTATCATCACAGAAATATTTTCTATCTGTACTTATTTTCTTTAACGTTTCACGTGAATTGAAAATATTTGACTTTTGCAACAAAAAAAAAAAAAAAAAAAAAAAAAAAAAAAAAAAAAAAAAAAAAAAAAAAAAAAATTCGCGATTTCCATAGCTCAATTTTATATTTTCAATTCACGTCCCCGTTGTGTATGAATATATTACTTTTCAACTGTGTAACCGACAGTCCAAAATGACGATCTCTCCTCAATCACAAGACACCTTCGACTGCAACCGAAGGCTGGTATTATAATATAAAAAAATAGTGTTCGAATCCATAAACCCATTGACTGTAGCGCACGCGAATGCCTTTTTTTTCTGTTCACACGTACACACAGGAAGAACAAGTCTTTTCGGCCACGCGAGCGAGGCAAAAAAGGCCTGAAGAACCTGCAGACCGTCAAAACTCTGGTCGGTAGGACGCAGAGCTACGGAACCGGAGGCGGCGGTGGTCCAGGCAAGGCCCGCAAGCAACCCATGACGGTATCGGCGCAGTTCCAACAGAGTCTGCACAGTCTGATGGACACCCTGAACCAGGCGAATCCGTTCTTCATCAGGTGCATCAAGAGCAACGCCAACAAGGTGCCCAACGAATTCGACGAGGAGACGGTGCAACGCCAACTGCGCTACACCGGCATGCTCGAGACCGTGCGCATCCGGCAGGCCGGCTTCAACGTGCGTCTCACCTACGAGGAATTCATCCAGCTGTACCGCATGCTCCTGCCCAAGGGTCTGCTTAGCACGCGCGCCGACGTCCGAGACTTCCTGCTCACCCTCAACCTCAACCGCGATAACTACCAGCTCGGCACGACCAAGGTCTTTCTGCGCGAGTCCGAGAAGATCAAGCTCGAGATCGAGCTCCACCAGCAGATCATCACAAGCATCACGACGATACAAAAGTGGTTCAGGGTTTGCCTCGAGCGCAGGCGTTTCCTCAAACTCAAGAATGCGGTTGTGCTCATACAGTCGTTCTGGAGGATGGTCACCGCGCAGAGGCTCGCCAAAGCCCTCAGGACGAGGATCAAGGCGGCCACGCACATACAGGCAACCTGGAAGGCGTACAGGCAGCAAAAGTGGTTCAGTAACTTTAGAAAGTGCATTGTGAAGTTCCAAGCCTGCGTTAGGGGCTACAACGTGAGGAAGACGCTGCCCGAGCGGAGGAGGAAGAAACGGGAGCTGGAAATCAAGGAACGACGAGAGTAAGTTCTTTCTTCCTTCTTTCTGTTATAATAGTTGAAGAAGAAAAAAATTTTTTTTTTTTTTTTTTTTGCAACGTTATTTATTGTCATTATCGCTCGTGCGACTATCGTTATAGGTCGTATATTCACGATTCGAATCCTCTTGCTGAAAGTAATTTGACCCTGCATCGACCGGAGCCTGCGAACCGTATCTCTCCAATGAGGTAAGTCATTGATAAAATAATGTCGAATGGTTTTCTGTAAAAGTTGCTCAAATCTTCAATATTGTTCGTAGGACAAATGACAACAGTAGCCATCACGAGCCAATCGTGGATCCGAATATCTCAAAGGTCTCGAAGCGTAAAGTTACCGTTTACCGACGTACCTCGAACGACACCTCACCCAAAATCCTCAACAGCTCCGATTCCTATCCGTACTCCGAGAGTAACAACACGAGCAGTGGGAGCATTGAACACCATCACCAACCGCGCAAGGGTAGCCTCGACAGTCTAGCCAGCCTGCAGAGTTATGAATCCCAGGTGTCGGTAGAATCGTCAGAGTCTCACCACTCACACGGCGAGAACAACGCGACGACTTTGGCGACAAAACCAGTACCGAACGCGCGAGTACGACGCAGCGGTGTTTCAACTACGAGCATACTCGAGCAACAGGCGAGCGTTCACACGCCCAGCTCGACAACGAGTCGACAGTCGTTGTCGACGACCAGGCATACCGGCAGCAGCAGCACGTCCGCCGGCTTCAGTGATGGCGAAACTGATGCGGAGACACCGAGCGCAGTTCATAGCGCGCCACCCGTTTTCAATGCCAGTTTGCCATCGTTTTCCACTCCGCGCGATCTCAAGTACCATCATCACCACCATCATCCGACCAACGCTAATCTCACTCACGCGCCAAACTCTTCGGACGTGTGGCACAAGAGGCCAGAGTACAGTAGCAGCGTCGAGTACGGAGGAACGCCTCAAGTGCCGCAGAAGCCGACAATCACGCGCTCGCCCAATGTCACGCAGCCCAGGAACCTCAGTGAAAGCATGCTCGAGCAAGAACGGTCGAACAGACTGGAGCGACTGAACAAGCCAGCCATGTCCGCGACGCTCAAGCTCGAGAACCCGCTGAGGCACAGGAAACTCAGTGACAACGAGGACCCCGCGATAACGCCAACGTCCATTAAGTGGGCTCCGGTCTACGGCAAAGAGGCGAAAGAGTATGCGTATCTGATGAGACAAAATTCCGAGGGTGACGTGGGTCTGGGTGATAACATAGCGAACTTGAAGACAGCTGCTAAGGTGTTGGGGCCACAAAAGGAGAAAAACGAGCCTGATGTTCCAGTTAGGAGCGTTCGGCGCAACAGGCCGCCTCGGGAGCTTCAGTGTCGTTCCATGGGTGAGTCCGTGAGCGAGGCGACTAACGAAGCTCGTAACGTTCTCCTGAGCACAATTAAGGAAAGCGACCTCGTCAAGACAAACGCTTGGTCACACAAGGAGGAGGCGAAGCACGAGGCGGTCTCGCGCACTGTCACCGACTGGCCCGTGAACAAGAAGGAAATGCAGTTGAATCCGTTAGCCAAACGCACACGGTCTAATGCTATTACAAATATAGAGCTGCGGCGTCGCAACTCGGACCCGGCCACAAACATATCGGGCCTGAGCGATGATAAGCCTCACGTTAAGACTAGTCCCAATACCATTGCACCTGGTATGAATTTGGTCGAGTGGAAGGGTAACTTGGTTTGTCTGGCAGGACACCAGTTCAGAAAAATACCGAGGTTCTCCAAGGACGACGTGTGCGTTTGTTGCCGCGAAAAGATGGATGCGTTTGTTACTCAGGTAAAGTATTTTTTAATCTCGTTTATTTCTTTTTTTGTGGCTTTTATTGGTCATTAGATGTTAAAAAAAAATTCTTAAAACAGGGCTACAAGTGTATAGACTGTAAGCAACTCTTCCACACTAAATGCATCCAGAACGGTGGTGTTTTGAAAATGCCCTGCATAACAGCCAACATACCGAATCGCAGAAACAAAAGGAAACAGCTGCGAACACCATACGATCACGTTAAACACGCAGTCACTTCGAAATTCAGTCTTACTGGAACGTCTGCTTTCTCAGACAGCACAGACATGATTATTTCGGACGCTAAGGAGTTGGCACTTATGCAGGATTTTATCGCGAGAAAGATCTACGGGATGGAAGACAAAAAAGACACCAAAAAACCACTGAACGAGGTCGACCGAGTGTTTAAACAGGCGCTCAAACAATTCAAGGACGATCTCGTGATGACGTACAGCGTGGCAATCCAACAAGGCATGGAGGGTAACATCAAGTATACGGATTTGATAGCGAATTTTCTAAGTGTGATGGAGACCGTGTGCAAGCAGGAGAATCTGAAAGAAGATTTCCCGTTGACAATGGGTGTGAATGCATTCAGAGGGTTTATGAATGAATTCATGCAGACAGCTAAGAATGAAACTGTTGAAAAGCAGAGCAAGAGCAAAAGAAAAAAAGAAAAAAAGGAGAAGAGGAAGCAGGAAGAGCCGATTAGGCATGGTAGTCATGTGTTCCAGTTGACGATTATAAACATACCGACTGCTTGCGAGGTTTGCACGTCATTTTTCATGTGGCCTATCGAGCGTGGCCTCATCTGTCAAAGTGAGTCCTATGTCGTGGATTTTTACACTTTTCTTTCATTAAAAATAGATATTCATATTAATTTGATAAATTTTTGTTTTTTAGATTGCAAGCTTACATGTCACAAAAAGTGTTATACAAAAGCGACACCAGAGTGTGGCAAGGATGGTCTGTCACTCGACATGAACCCGCGAAAAATTTTTGGTGTTCCACTTCACAAACTTGACTTTGGTGACGGTAAGGTTCCTCTAGTAGTTGACAGATTAATCACGACAATCGAGATGCACGGCATGTACACCGAAGGCATCTATCGCAAGAGTGGCGTTAGCTCGAAAGTGAAAGAACTTAAGGCTAAGATGGACGAAGGAGACCTTGAGAAGGTGGACTTTAAAAATTACCAGGTGCATGTTCTAGCGGCCGTACTCAAGAGCTTTTTTAGAGACATGCCCGAGCCCCTGCTTACCTTTGAATATTACGAAGATTTCTTACATGCTGCTAGTTTGACTGAACCTCAGGATCGGATAAGGTGAGGGGTTTGGTTAATTTATAATAGTTTGTAAGAAACTGTTGCATTCCTTAGTTTTTTTTTTTTTTTTTATATTTTGTTTACAGTACACTCTTTGCTATCCTGAAAAAACTGCCAAAGCCAAATTTCGATCTAATGGAAAGGCTGATAGTACACTTGGCGCGAGTAGCTCTACACGAGGTCGACAACCGTATGTCACCGTCGGCCCTTGCCATAGTTTTCGCGCCGTGCATTCTGCGCACAAATCGAACTCTGCCAGCCCAAGACTCTTTGCAAGACGTGGGTCGGCAGACCAAGTGCGTGGAAACGATAGTCCAGGAGAAGCTACGCATCGTGAAGACGACTCTCGCTGACATCAACGATCTCGATTCGGCTTGCCACTCGGCGACGCATCGATTATCGAGTCTCAGATCTTCAAAGATTTTCAGTTCACAAGAGTTGAGCTCAACATTATCGAGCATCGTTGCTAGTAGAGGCTCGAATAGTTCTGTTTCGAATTCTGTAGAGAGGGATCGTGAGGATGAAGAAGAGGCGCTCGTGGGGCACATTCAGGAGATACAAAAAGAAAAGGCTCTGCTCACATCGACGCTGCCGAGTCTCACGAGGGCCTCTTCCGACGATGATCTGTTGCTCTCGGCGACTGATCTTGACGATGGATCGCTGGATGATCTTTTACCGTCAGCTGGTAAGTTTTCATGTTATCAATAATTTTTATATTTCAAGAAAATTCAGTAGATAGTTGATTAATAATTAACTGTTTTGCCACAGATGGACATGTCAGAAAAAAAAATGTTCAAAGGCAGAGTTCAGCAGACAGCAGCTTCCCCACAATTATCAATGTTGACGAAGACATGGTGATGGTGTGATCAATGATGAAAATGCACAAGACATCGTCCTCTCGTTGATTAAAAGTTCATTCGTTGATTAAATGGCTATACGACTTAAGCAAACAAGCACTATGTCAATCTTCTACTGGAATATAGCGTCCATCGTTAAATAACTAGTAAACTTGGTTAGCGCATCTTCATCTTTTGATTATTGAATGTGCTGCAAAAAAAAAAAAAAGGAGAATACATGTATATCTGTACATTGGAGCGTATGATTTTGTTTCAAGTCCAATCGTCTGAGAATGCATTCCTTATCTAAGACTGCTGTTCGCACATCAGTGAGAACGTTATGCCGACTTTCAAAAGAAGATAACTTTTCTATGGTGTGTATTGCTTTGCTTATGTGTTTTCTTTATCTCAATCGTAAAATCATAAATGAGCCGCTTTAAAGAAAATTTATGACTCTCATGTGAAAAAAGTGTAAAATTAAAAGAAATCAAGTGTGTTGTCCTTATGGCGACTGTTGTCGAAGTGGTGGAGCGAGAGAAGATCAAAACCTTTAGATAACCCTTTCTTCATTTAAAAAAAAAAAAAAAAAAAAGAAAAAAAGTTATAATTTCAAGTGCATGAGAAAAAGTGACTTACAGCGACAAAGAGACTATATAAACTTACATTGAAAAAGACGGTTTACAAAGGGGTGAACGATAAACCAAAATATCTTAGCTTGTACATAATCTGTTACTATTATATTGTTGCGAATTTTTAGCGAACGACGTTACCAAGTTTCTACTACTTCATCTCTCGTCGATAATAAGAATCAATCTAAGTTACAAAGCAATCGTATATAGACACGTGAATTACTTAATAGCGTGCTTTATTGGCTCCTCCGACCCTTGATCTATCTCATCCAATTTCAGCTTCCCTATTCCGTGATTCCCGTGTAAAAACTAAATCATAATATTTACGTTCGTGCGTGAATGTTTTTGTATATTTATTATGTACACAAAATTATATGATTTTTTTAGTGTACAAACTCACATTAAGACATAGAAGAGATCACTCAAAAGGCGCGATATTCTAATTACATATGTAATATATGTACATCCAGATCTTTCATGCATAAAAAATTAAAAAAATTAAAAAAAAAAAAATCAAAAGATTGAGTAGAAAATGGAATGAGAATAAGTTTCAAGCTTTTACATTTTTTTTAACAAATCCCTTCGACGTTATTAATATAATTTTTTTAGTCAGTAACAAATATTTAAAATAATTGTTGTCAATTGAAGCTTGTATTTTTTACTTTTTTTACACACATATTATTGGTTTTAAATAATTTATTATTGTAGTTAATAGTACATGATCATTACAAATAAAAAGTAATTTTAAGTAATTCTACCTTGGTATGGCCCAAAACAATAACTTATTCTTACTTTCCATTTCTATTTCAGTAATAGACTTTTTTGTGAAATTGAAAAAGACGTCAAGACGTAAAGATTGATGTTTGTTTTTTCGTTCAGCTTAACAAAACTGAACTGACCCATTGACGTAATTACTGATGCATTTCTGTCTTTAGTCTGATTAATTTTGATGACAGAGAGAGAGAGAGAGAGAGAGAGAGACTCCGAAAGGTAAATGGCTTTTTATCTCTGCATCAGCGATGATTAAATATCATTAAGGTGTGAAAAGATTAACGCATTATGTTATCATTTACGATTGATTTATCATATTAACTAGATGATTAAGGATTTCCTTGAAGATTTATAATATTGCGATCAAATGAAACGAAAAGGTACGTTCCTGTTTTTTATGCAAAGTTGATTATTTTAATTGAAAATATATACTTTATCGTATATTTTGTATAAAGTTTAACGTTAACGTTTTATCAAGTTGTTTACTTAATTAACTTTCTTTTTTTTTTGCGTTTGAGAAAGGCACGAGATCGGAACTTTTTTTAATACAGCGCTTAAAGGTTCTCTTGTACTTTTTTCGAAAAGTTAGAGTGTAAAAATTAGTTATAAAACGTGAGAATGAATTTTAGTTGAAAAATCAATTACTATATTACTCGGTACGATTGTAATTAAATTGTTACGAAACTTTGTAATCTTAACTATTTTCCTCGAGCTTATGAAGATTTTTGTTTGTTATTATAATATACTAGTGTCCGTTTAGCTAACCATGACATCCATAACCCTCGAGGAGAGCATAGGCGAAAAATACTTGAATGAAGAAAAAGTCGAATCTTGCAAATTTAGCTTTCGAGTCCTGTGATCCTGTACAAAGACGTATAAACAAAAAAAAAAACAAAAAAAGAAAGAGAGAGAGAGAAAAATGTATAACTTTTCAACGTGAGAAAGATATTTTTTATTCGTTCGATAAATTTTTCAACCACAGACCTTGAACGCGTACATTTGCAAGCTTTAGATTTTCGTAATCAACGAGAATGGTAAACGATTGAATGTATTTAATACATAGAATATAATGATTATTTTTTTTATAACGAACAAATGATACGTTGCTTATTCGTGAGACTTGTTTGTCGTTGCACCGTAGTCTCACGCGTACGCGAAAATCATGAAAAAATGAAATATGTATGTTTAGGGGGAAATTGAAATACTTACTACTTTAAATCACTGAAAGCGACTGAATTATTGTAAACTGTCAAAAAGGTTAATCCTTATCGATTATTAGTTTTTTATTTAAAAAAAAAGAAAAAAAAAAGATAAGAAAATATTTTACGTTATCCCAGTTTTCATAAATGAATCGCTCTTCCAGCAGTAATATATTATATAATTTTTACGACGATTCTAGAAAAAGTAAAACGAACAAATAAGTAACAAAAGCAAAGACGATCGATGGACTGCGCGCTGTGCGGGGCGTAATATTGAAAACGAACACATACACAAAACACACAAAATATCTGTATATTTTTTTAAACGTACTATGTGATATATATGCGTATAAATAAATGATATAATATGAATTCTCGATTCTCCTGTCATTTCCAATTAAACATTCATCCCTAAAAATCACCTCAACTACTCATTGTTCTTTGGTTGCCTATACTTGTTAATTTACTTAATGAATCGTATTAATTACTAATTGTTTTTTAAATAAATTTAAGTTTTTTTAGAATGTAAAAGATTCTATTAAAAATAACTCATATTTGTTTTAATACCTGCAAAACTAAATAACTTTTTGCTTACTTTATATTTTTCTTACACATTATCTCGTTAATTGTTATCGAGAATTTATCAAACTGCTTAACATTACGGGAATGTTTGTTTGTAAAATTTTGCACGCATGAATCAATATTTGTCTGCCTAATGTAGTATCATAAAGTACATGGGCTTGTCCTGGCAATTGGGTCAAACATTTACAGTGTCTGTAGTTTCGGCAAGTCAAAGCAATAAATCAATTTTACTAATGGCGAAGTAATACCCAATGTGATTTTGTCCAATTCGTTTGACCATAACTAACGCAGATAAGAAGCAAGAATTTCTGTAGACATTTGAGCTATTAATTGATATTGACGAAACAGACGTCCATCAATATTAATGTACTTTGATCTCAAGCATGTGTTTACATATATTATAGTGTATTTGCGTGAGTTGGTAATTTTTCACCTCCAGTGTTACACAAAGTGCCTATATTTTTTTATTAGAGCAAAACACGTACATACCTACAATTTTTAACCTATTATAAATTTACGTTTCTTACCAATCAAATTGTTTCGATTTGTCTACTGCATACTCGTATGAAATTTTATCAAAGTAGCTCGAATGGTTCAAATACTTCCGATTCTTTAAATTAAAAAAAAAAGCTCTAATTTGACAATGAGATATTAATATCATAAAATTATAAAAAACCGCCCTTTTGCCGTCTTCATTTTAATAAATGGTAAATTTATGGAAACACGGAAAAATTAATGGTCTCATAGAAAAAAAAAATACATAGTTTGATTGGAATGTCTATGTAACAATTCGACTCGACGATAGTACTCGGGATGAAATTAGTAATGAAGTAGCCCGAACATTAAACCGTTATTAGTTTTCCTTTATTTACAATTAGCATACCTCTTTGTCGATGTCTGTTATTCGATAATTATGCATAAATTACGGCACATATTTCATAAGTAGAACACGCAATTGGTAAATATTTACTCATTCCAAAGTACTTGCATTGCATACAAACCATTTAAATTGTTTAACCTTAAAAATTTTTTTAAATATATCAATACTCGTTACAAACAAAAATAAAAAGAGGATTTTTTTTTCCGTGGTAAGCATTTCTTATTATTCGAGTAACTACAAAAAAGTATCTCTCCATATGCCCTGCACGTTTCCATTCATTGAGATATAAACAAACGAGCTTAGCTAAAGTGTAGATAGGCTCTCCCTTGCTCTGTAAAATAAGAAATAAAGAGAAGAAAAGAAAAAAAAAATCAAATAAACCGCACCGATAGCAAGACCCTCAATTTATATATTTTTTCCGCTTGACCCCAGCAAAGTTTTATCGAGATATAGCCATATAGCAAAAAAAAAAAAAAAAAAAAAAAAAAAAAGATAAAGAGAGACGAAAATCGCTAGCCTTTCCGAGCAGAAATGACGTTTTACGTAAATTAAGAGGATGTACTTACTTACTGACGGGTTCTTGAGCAAGTGATTTTTTTTTCGAGGCGAGCTGTGAAAAAAAATATGGAGGGTTTGTTTTTTCACTTTTAATTGGGACATACCTTTGAGAATTTCTTCAAATCTTCTTTTTAACTTTACGGTGGTTTTTCGAGCAATTTTACAATGTGTTATTGGTTATTTATTTATTTATTTTTTATATGGTTTGCTTTGAAGAAGAAAATTTCAAATTTACGTTTCAAATTAAATGCGATAGTATTGGGATTTATTGAATTCGCGATTCGCATTCAAATTGGAAAATGGAGGAGAGGAAAACAGGTACAAAACGAAAACCCATCAGTGGGCTAATGTTATTACATCGATCCAATCATTCAAAGTTTA